TATGCACAAATGTATGTCCTATCATGTGCACAAATAAAGGGTGAATGCTGTGGATCTTGTTGTCCATTAAAATCTGTACAATAAAGCTTTCAGTCACATGCCATCCCTAAGGTGTGGCGTTGTTTACAATTTCCCATTTAGAATCCTTTCATTAGAAAGTATTTACACCACAGTATTGTATGTCGAACATAAAAAATATTAAATGTATAAAGATATTGTACACAATGTGATAAATCAATGATATAATCTTTAGAGCAGGACAGCACGATCGAACCAATGTTGTGGATAACCACAGATGTGCACCTTAACCCATGGACTAGGATGTGCAAAAAGTTACACGACCTGTCTTTTTTCTCTGGTCTGGTGGTGTGGTGTCAAGATATAACTGTGGGGCTCTGCCTTGATTCTCCTCCTCCTCCTCCTCCCTTTCCCTTACCTTAAGTTCCTGTAACTACAAAGTTAAGTACCTTTATGTGTAACCGTGCTAACTGCTAGGCTTGTAGGAGATTGGTGTAGATATTATGTAGTATAAGCCAGTGTTTTGGGTATCCCTAAGTGTTGTGTTGTGATAGTGTCCCACATAGTACTCATTACTCCAAGCTTTCAAGTTCTTCACTAGTAGACTTTACCCTAGCTTATCCTAATTGTAAAACCTTGTATCCTGCCTACGTGGACCAAGGCTTTTAAAGTAAGATAGTGTGGTAAAGTAGTTATTGTTATTGTTATTTAATGTATATGGGGGTTATTAAGAGGGTTTAATAAATAAGTTAGTTTTTGAGGTGTATCCATTACTCCTGTTGTAGTGGCGCAGATGATTGTATCCCAGACGACAGAGCCATTCTAAAACCTTAAAGCATAAACAGGAACCATGTTCCTTGGGGGCCGGGCCTCTTTGTGCCACTACTCTAACATACATCTTGATTCTAACTGCTTGCATTTAGAGCAAGGGGGTCAGGACTGGAGAAAATGAAGATTGTGTCGTCCGCAAATAAAATTGGTTTGAGGTGTTGAGAGGCATTTGGAAGGTCATTAATATAGATGAGAAAGAGGAGAGGGCCACGTATGCTGCCCTGTGGAACTCGTATTGGCATCCTTGGTGATATTTAGCGCCCTCTGATTATTTTGCGTATTTGATGGTGCTACATAGCCTTCCCGGTTTGGTGCCTTCTTTTGATAATTACTTACTTGCCCTGTGGAACATCAATGTTAATGGGTAGGGTGGGAGAAATGGAATTATTCACAGAAATATACTGGAGCCTGTCAGTAAGGTAAGACTGAATGTATTGGAGTGACCTCTGATTCCATAATGATGTAAGTTAAGGTTTTGGTGGTTGACAGTGACAAAACCCTTACGTAGGTCAACAAATAACTCATCAGGGAAATCATTTTTAGCAAGAGCTGCATGTATCAATTTAATCATATTAGTGCATCATTAATGCTTTTTTGGGGTCTGAAGCCATATTGACAAGAGCTAAGTATATTGTGTTTGGCTAGATAAGAGTAAAGCTGCTTGTAGATTAGTTTTTCAAATATTTTTGTCATGGTTGGCAGAATTGATATAGGTCTGAAATTGTTGACATCAGTGAGATCACCACATTTATGGACTGGGGTTACTCTCGCTTTTTTTTAGAATATCTGGAAAGGTTTGGAGTTCAAGTGATTTGTTGAAGAGCAATGCAATGGCAGGAGCTAGAAATCTGGAGGCTTTTTTTGTAAATTTGAGCTGGTATCTCAGCAAGGGCACTTGACTTTGTTTTAAGAGAAAGGATTACCTCATTGACATCAGTGGAATTAGCGGGAGTTAGGTACAGAGACTCTGGATAGTTACCTGTAAGGTAGTCTTTAACATTAGTTAGGGAGGTTGGAATATCATTAGCAAGGGATGTCTCAATGGATGAGAAGAACCTATTGAATTCAATAGCAGTGTCAGATAGGCTGAAATGACCATTGTCATTGGATAAGAGTATTGGTTTTTTATTCAAAATCTTTTTTGGTCCTAATATTTGGGAAATAGTGCTCCATGTTTTTTAATGTTACCCTTAATTTGGGTAAATTTATTTTCATAGTATTTTATTTTGGCTCTCTTAATTATTTTAGACAGCATTGATGAATAAACCTTTTAAAATTCTATGGAGATGACTCCAAACCTATACTTCTTCTAACTTATATTTCATGTAATTACCTAAGTGTAGTTACAGGATGAGAGCTAAGCTCGCGGTGTCCCGTCTTCCCAGCGCTCTTTGTCATATAACATATGTGGATTCCATCTCATGTTAGCCTCTGAATGCATGATAGAGCTGATGAGTTACCAAAAGAATATGCCTTTAAAGGAGAAATTGAGTATAACCTTGGATTGTCACTAAAAAGTCTGAGAGCAATAGTTTAGTTTAGTTTAGTTCATTTATTATGCACCCCATACCCATCTTGTGGGCGGTAGTGGAAAGGGTTACAGAGGCACATAATGGACTCAGGGACTGAACCCCACAATTCATTTAGCTAAGCAAGTTACAATTTTGATGAGTTAGTTACAAAATTCAGTATAAGTCGTCACATCAACAATGGGTTCGAGATCGACCACAAGTACAGCTTCTAAATTAAGCAACTGACATATGTGGAGAACTAGTGTCACAATTGATATATTTATCCTGCACACCGCCCCCATCCAGTGGGCAGCGGTGGATAGGTTACAATCACTTAGTTACTACCTACAGTTAGCACACTGGGGATATTTGGCTAAAATTTCTGGTAGCAGATCATTTTGAATTAAATATTTACACATCGTTGAAACATTGGTTATAGAATTGTCTCTGAATTCAAGTATCTTTTCGCACTCCATCACATAGTGACGGAGGGTGTGCGAATAATTTTGTTGACACAGTTTACATTTGGTCAGGTCTACATCGGCAGATAATGAGAATTCCCAGAGATACTTGTACACCGAGAACTTCAACAAAATCTTGTAGATCTGAGACAAAGTGAAGTTCCATCCATCATCATACTATCATCCAAGAGGAGACACACACCTATGCATCATCCAATAAAACCAGCAGACTTCTAGATGTTACTACTGCTCGGCTTAGACTCGGTTACAAGTATCTCTGGGAATTCTCATTATCTGCCGATGTAGACCTGACCAAATGTAAACTGCCAACAAAATTATTCGCACACCCTCCGTCACTATGTGATGGAGTGCGAAAAGATACGTGAAATCAGAGACAATTCTGTAACAAATGTCCAAGAGATGTGTAAATATTTCATACAATTCTTTCAGATATAGCATCCACATTTTTTTATTTTATTTATTTATATACAAGAAGGTACATTGGGTTTGTGAGAGTACATAGCACGATACCTAGTACCTGGTTGATACCTGGTTGATAGGGTTCTAGGAGTTGTTCTACTCCCCAAGCCCGGCCCGAGGCCAGGCTTGACTTGTGAGAGTTTGGTCCACTAGGCTGTTGCTTGGAGCGGCCCGCAAGCCCACATAGCACGATGTGTTTACATTCTTGTAAAGCCACAACTAGTACCCCACAGCGTCTCGGGCAGGTCCTTATTCTAAAAGATAATATTAAGTAGGTAAATTCTAGCAAAATTTATAAAATGCTAACAGGTACATTGTAAAAAAATTTGAGAGATTAGTAGGTATATTAAAGCACATTGATAGCTTGATTGATAGCATATATAAAAGATGACGGCAGTGATCACAATAGTAAAGTTGTATAGTTGTATGGCTTAGGTACATATATATTGAGGATTGGGTAGCACTAGATACAGTGTGAGTTTAAAGCACAAGGTAGGAAACTATAAAGATAAAATTAGGTACTTTTTGTTTTTGTTTTTGAATAAGGCAAAAATTGTACAGCTTTTAAATTCATTAGGGAGTTCCATAGACTAGGTCCCTTTATTTGCACAGTGTTTACACTAACATCCACTACACATTAGCATTACTCCTGCAGTGTCAGCCACTAGTACTGTTCCTGCAGATATAGTATCCACATCTACATCCATTCCTGCTACCAATCATCCAGTTTCAGCAGACATACCATCATTGCCTGTTGCTGCTGCTGGTGACATTTTATAAGAGGAAATACCCAAATCTGTGACAGTAAAGGAATTTGCAATTGATTTGATTGATTGTTGCCGCCGAAGGCGGCTAGTTTATTGTGCACCCCATACTCATCCTGTGAGCGGTAGCGCAAAATTGATTTCTATAAAGCCAACAAACTTTGTAAAATCTCTTTATGTATGTACCTTTACCTAAATAAAAATTATTATTATTATTATTATTATTATAAAAGCATTACAGAGGGCACAAAAGGTCTTTATCAGATCTCATCTTAGATTATTACATAAACAATTTCTTCAATCCTTCACACCTTATAGATACAATGTCAGCTAGTTACAGAGAAAGTGTTATTACAAGAGCTACATATTTACAGTAAGTCATCATACATTAATGGTAGGTCTTGTCGTTAATACATAATAGTTTGGCCAATGGGGATATTACAGAGTCATAGGGAAGCTTCTGTTTATTATTAGTCCTCACAATACACTACTTGTTTCTGAATCTCATATGTCGTTCATCTACTGGAAGCAAAATGTGGGTACAGTGCAAGGATTTCAGGTAATTTATCCATGGTAATAAGATAGGTTGCCATATCATACAGAGTGAGCTTAGATTTATCTCTAAAAGGCTCAATTTTACAACAATCCAAGATATAGTGTTCGAGTGTGTGTCCCTGCCTATGTCCACACACTTTACACTTTACTTCATCTAGATCCCTATACAAGCCGAACTGCCAGAGATACTTGTAGCCAAGTCTTATACGAGCTGTGACAACATGTTAGTCTACTGACTTTGTTACTTGCCCCATACACATGTTTTACTTCACACATTTCATTGTGATGAACAATGGACCTACTAGTTCCAGTTTGCACTGTTCTACTTTCTTCAAATCCATCTAGGAGTTCTCGTCTAATGACACTTTTAAGGGACCTATTTGATAACTCAAGATTCCATTCAATACTGTCTTTATTTACTGCAGCCTTAGCAAGGGCGATCCAGGAGAGAGATCCGGGGTTATGGAACATTAATGATACTAACACAATAGATTACTGGATTCGTAGTGGGCCATTCATGTCAGAATTATGATAGCAACCTTTCAAACTCACGCAGAGTGTATAAAATAGCTAGAGTAGAGAATATGAAGGTAAGGTATTTATCAAACAATGTGTTCAAACGTGAACTGTGGAATGGCCAGTATGTGATTGGCTACTCTGTTTGCCATCCCTTGGTCGTTTGTACTGCTTTGTATGTCGCCTATTATACAAGAAAGAATCTCCCTTTGCTACATCGGGGTTCAATGACTGGAAGCACAGCAATGTTATTGTAGAACGTGAAAATGAAGAACATCGAAAGTGCATGACAGCATGTGTGATAAGGCATAAAGAAACTGGAAGTATAGATTCTTTATTACATGAGTAACATTCCTCAGAGCAGGAATATTGGCATAAAGTGTTGACACGTGTGGTTTCTGTAATTCGCTTTCGTGCCTCTAGAGATATGCCATTTCGTGGAGAAAATCTGATTATTGTATCAGCAAATAATGGCAACTATTTTGGTCTACTAGAGCTGCTGAGTGAATTTGACCCTTTCTTAGAAGAACATCTAAAAATGTATGGAAAACCTGGAAAATATTTGTGAGGCATTTATTGAATTAATGGGACAACAGGTTCTTTGTACTACTCTTGAAATTTTGTTGAAAAGAGTCAAAGTATTATTCAATAAGTGCAGATTCCACTCCAGACATCTCATACACAGATCAACTGACATGTACTGTCCGATGCATGGACAACTGATCTGATTTCTTGGGTGGCCGAGTTTAGTGACCTTCTGTATATCTCATAATCAACGTTGTACATTGTGGATTTATACGTTTTTCCAGAAGTTCTGCTTAGTTGTCAAGGCTTAGTTGCCTGTGTCATCCAACTAGTTTCCTTTCTTTGAACGAGTTCCGGAATAATTTTGGTACCTTCTTGAAATTTTGGGACCAACTACATCTCAAGGCTTAATAAACCACAATCCAGGACAGGAAACAGATGCTTTCTCACCCATAGGGTTATAAATCCAGGGGAATCGCTCACCCACCGAAGCCGTAAATGCCAAGGCATTTCTGCAGTTTCCTGATAATTTATCCAGTCCAGCTGGATAAATTATCAGGAAAATGTTGGACGAAGACATTTGACAAAACGCCGGTTCTGTCCCGGTAGAGGCCACTAGGGATGGTGGCCCCTCAAGTAAATATACAGTGTCGCTCCAGATGCATGAAAGAAAAGCAAAACAAATTGTACATGTTCAACATTGTCATATTTATTGCAGTGATAATGCTATTCATTATCCTAATTCACACTAACCATTATCTATATGTATACACACTGACAGCCAGATAAATGGTCGAGATGTACTTGCAGGCTTCACGATCAATGATGGAGGAGTGGGTGACTCGGGCACAGGGCTGACTGACGTGACGCGGGCACAGGGCTGACTGACGTCAAGAGGCTGCTGCTCTCCGACAGCCAAGACGCCGGCGATGGAGTACACAGCCGGTAAAAAGCCTCAATAGATGCCTAGGAATAATTTAGGCGCTTGAAGTGCCGTTACTTCAGTCATGGTGGCTGCCATCTGGTGGTGAATGGCGTATGCGATCACTTAATGCAGTCTGTATACGGCAAAAAAAAGGCATGAATCATTTGTGTATGGCTGGAGAAGTGTGGTGAAGAGGAGGCAGCTTGGTCTGTATTGAGAGCGTCAACGCTGCAGGGGGCGTCCATGTCAGTCTCATCACAGTCGACGTCAGAAGAGGATACCGCGATAGGCTTGTACTGCTATGAACAATGTACCGACGCCATTAGTCACTGCAGCTAAAGCCTGTAAAGGTGTATAATAACAGAAATAAGGATATGTAACGTACGTGATTAACTCGCTACAGATATAATTCAACAACAACATTCTTCTCAGTGAAAATAAATTTTCTCCCTTAAGAGGAAACGGTGTATTTTATTAATTTTAATAACGACTTACAATGGTCTTAAAATAGTGATAATTTAATTATCAGGGGAAAGCGGCAAGCCATTAAGACTATATAGCACTGGGAAGGATTAGGATAAGGTTTTGGGATGGGACGGGGGGAAGGAATGATGGTCACCTACTTGGACGGTCGGGGATTGAAGGCCGACCTGCATGAAGCGAGACCGTCGCTCTACCGTCCAGCCCAAAGGGGCTATGGAATGCCCCCTTTATATATATATATATATATATATATATATATATATATGCGAACAAGCCTTAATGGTCCCCAGGACTATATGCGACTGAAAACTCACACCCCAGAAGTGACTCGAACCCATACTCCCAGGAGCAACGCAACGCAAATTTGTTCGCATTTGTGTTCCTCACGTGTGCCCCAAAGAATGAGGTGATTTGGTGAAATGCTATGCCCAAGATTACCATCCGAGTTGCCGGCAGGGAAGTGGTTCAAATAGCCTTGGCTATCACTTCCTTTTGTCCGGCCGTGATGGTCAAGCGGATTAAGGCGCCCTGTAGTTACCAGCTGCGTTGCTCCTGGGAGTATATATGTATATTATATATATATATATATATATATATATATATATATATATATATATATATATATATATATATATATATATATATATATATATAATCTTTGGACAACACCCACCAGTGGGACTCGAACCCAGAAAGCACAACTACCTTCCAGTAGCTGGCATAACTAGTATGCTTTAACCCACTACGCCATCAGACCTTACAAAAGAAGTAGATAGTTCGAGATATATATCTCAAACATCTCCACCTCCCGAAGGCACCAGATGAGTGAGGGGTCAGTCTGCATTTTTCCCCTTTTCCCCTTCTTTTGTAAGGTCTGATGGCGTAGTGGGTTAAAGCATACTAGTTATGCCAGCTACTGGAAGGTAGTTGTGCTTTCTGGGTTCGAGTCCCACTGGTGGGTGTTGTCCAAAGATTGTTAATCTTCACTTGTGGTTTATGCAAGTATAGGCTTATAAGCTGGACACGAGTTCTCTCACATTGACAGTGGCTTGACGAAAAATGCAGACTGACCCCTCACTCATCTGGTGCCTTCGGGAGGTGGAGATGTTTGAGATATATATCTCGAACTATCTACTTCTTTTGTAAGGTCTGATGGCGTAGTGGGTTAAAGCATACTAGTTATGCCAGCTACTGGAAGGTAGTTGTGCTTTCTGGGTTCGAGTCCCACTGGTGGGTGTTGTCCAAAGATTGTTAATCTTCACTTGTGGTTTATGCAAGTATAGGCTTATAAGCTGGACACGAGTTCTCTCACATTGACAGTGGCTTGACGAAAAATGCAGACTGACCCCTCACTCATCTGGTGCCTTCGGGAGGTGGAGATGTTTGAGATATATATCTCGAACTATCTACTTCTTTTGTAAGGTCTGATGGCGTAGTGGGTTAAAGCATACTAGTTATGCCAGCTACTGGAAGGTAGTTGTGCTTTCTGGGTTCGAGTCCCACTGGTGGGTGTTGTCCAAAGATTGTTAATCTTCACTTGTGGTTTATGCAAGTATAGGCTTATAAGCTGGACACGAGTTCTCTCACATTGACAGTGGCTTGACGAAAAATGCAGACTGACCCCTCACTCATCTGGTGCCTTCGGGAGGTGGAGATGTTTGAGATATATATCTCGAACTATCTACTTCTTTTGTAAGGTCTGATGGCGTAGTGGGTTAAAGCATACTAGTTATGCCAGCTACTGGAAGGTAGTTGTGCTTTCTGGGTTCGAGTCCCACTGGTGGGTGTTGTCCAAAGATTGTTAATTTTCACTTGTGGTTTATGCAAGTATAGGCTTATAAGCTGGACACGAGTTCTCTCACATTGACAGTGGCTTGAAGAAAAATGCAGACTGACCCCTCACTCATCTGGTGCCTTTGGGAGGTGGAGATGTTTGAGATATATATCTCGAACTATCTACTTCTTTTGTAAGGTCTGATGGCGTAGTGGGTTAAAGCATAATAGTTATGCCAGCTACTGGAAGGTAGTTGTGCTTTCTGGGTTCGAGTCCCACTGGTGGGTGTTGTCCAAAGATTGTTAATCTTCACTTGTGGTTTATGCAAGTATAGGCTTATATATATATATATATATATATATATATATATATATATATATATATATATATATATATATATATATATATATAGCTGGCAGATCACATATTTTGCATACAAAAGAAATTTTAGAGAAAGATTATAAAAAAATAATATTTGTCTATTTTTGTCCAAACTATGCGGGCAGATTCTTGGGGCTAGAACTCGCTTAACATTGCAGGGAAACTATTCTGGGGTACAGAACGGACATAGGCCGACTTCGATTAGCCTAAGTTAAATCCTTTAAGAAATATTACCAGTTACATAGGCCCCCCACTCCCCCATGCTATATTCATGGAGTCATGTGTAAAATATATGATGTGTTTCCCCTTTAGCGATCATAATAATATATTTTCTGAGAGTAGAGGGGAAGACCAAGGGGAGGGATACAAAGAGGGCAAAGGCGAAAGAGTCGGGACGGAAACGGTGCGTCTGTTCACCTAGCTGTAAGCACGAAAGGGAGTTAGGTAACTGTTGTGGGTTGCGTCCTGGGTAAAGTCAGTCGTTCGATCTAGGGGGAGGATACTTCGTTATGAGGCTAAGTACAATTTAGACTTTCTCTGTCCTCGACAACGGAAATTAAATTTGTGTAAACTAACCCGACATATTTAATGTACAAACTTCTATGAATAAAACATTTGAATTTGAAGAAACAGTGAAACTGGCCGTACATTAAAGAACACTTACCTTATTCTTACATTCTACATTTTCCTTACCTTGTTCTTATATTCATCCTGTTCTTTCCTTATTCTTACATTCTTGCTATTCCTACATGTATTCTGTTCTTACCTTTCTCATACATTCAACCTTTCTTACCTTATTTTTACATTAATCCTATTCTTACCTGATTCCTACATTCATCCTATTCCTACCTGCTCCTTACGTTATTCTTACCTGCTCCTTACCTCTCATCTTACTCTCTTACCTTATATATTTGCCTCTACCTTCTTCTCTTCCTTACGGGCTATTCATGCCCGTGCCACCTCTTGAGTGGCTAAATCTTTATCAATCAGTCAATCATCTCTTCCAACCAGATTGTTCGCACACGCTGCTACCCGTTGAGGGTGTGGACACAATGTGACCCAACCGTCTAAAGGTTAGAACGTCTAAAGTTACTCCCCTTGACGGTCATGCTTTCAGGAAAAGTAATATTCTGAAGGTCCTGAAGGACGTGGCCGGCATCACACCCACTGACATTAGTCAGGAAGGTGATGATATCGTGCTCTTCTCTTCATATGAGGAAGACCTAGAAAAACTCTTGACCAACGATGCCGTTCTTCGTAAGGAGCACCACCTACATTCTCACTACCCACATCAGTGCCTGGCCGGAAGAACTGTTTTTACCAGCAGGACCAGCCAGTGGATCGCTGACCAACCGCAGCAAGAGATCATGGACAATATCGAGGCCGAAAATCCGAACCTGTGTGTATTCAACCTAGAGTTCTGCAGCACCGATAAATCATCAATGAAGATTACTTTCACCACCATAGCTGCGGCCAACCAGGCTGCCACACAAGGTTTCTACTGCTTCGGCTTACAAATACCACCCCACCAAGTAACAAAGGAACAATATCATAAGCTCCAGCAGTGCTTCAAGTGCTACGAGCTCTCCCACCCCACCAACAAGTGTCAGCACCCCGTCCAGAAGTGCAGCCTGTGAGCACTGGATCATCACTACTCCATATGCAAGGCAACAACCCACCGCTGCTTGGTCTACGATGGCAATTTACTACCGCTGCCCCCGCAGACAGGAAAACATCAAGGCCCAGGTTGAAGCCAAGAGAAACAACCCTTCCACCTCTTCGACCAGAGCTCCAGGCGTTCAACCCACCATCTCAGCTCCCACCAACCGACCAGAATACTTTCCAGTCTTACCAAATAGTGGCTCCTCCCACCTGGCGACCCAGCCTTCACAATGGGGAACCCCAAGGCCCCACGGGCTCCTTCGCAGCCCCCTGCATTACGTGCAGCCATTATTCCTGGTCTCATTAGACTAGCGGAGAGGCTTGTCGGACCTAACAACCACCGTTTTGTCAGTGAACTGAACGCATTATACCTGGCCAATGGCCTGCCCCCATCATAGCCCCTGGCGCAAGTCTCACTGCCTCCACTACCACGAGGTCGATTTCAACAGACTCCAGAACCACCCCATGACCCGGGCGGCACAGAGGTAATTCCCTCTCCAGCTCCCAACACTCCTACCATCACCATCTCAGCAGCCGCGCCAGCAGACGCGCTGTCTACAAATGCTAACAGCACCACTAACGCCCCTGAAATAGTTTCTATCACCAATCCACGACACCTGAGGTTGCGAGGCGAAAGACGAAACACCACCTACGGAGGTTACGGACTCCTCAGACGAAGAAATTTTAGTAGGAGCTCCACAGCCGCACCACAAGTAAGACACCTACTCGGTACAAGACGTCCTCATGAAGGCCACCTTACCAAACTCCAACGACAGCACGACTCAGCCAAAGAAAAAATGGAACCCCTAGAGGCTTACACTAACCCACCAGCTCCATAACTGGTACAACCAGCCCTTCGAGGCTGAAATCCATCATGAAGACACCCATCCATCCCCAGATCTCTAGTATCAGCTATTGATACAGATAATAGCTCCAAAGAGCCTCCACTTACTGGCTCACCAAAGTCCGTGCTACTTTGGAACTTTCTGTTCCGAGTAGCTGAATCTAAAACAACATCCTCTCTTCTCTCACACTTGATAATGGTCCACGACAGACGGGAACGTCGTCGCCTCTCCATCTTCTGAGTTGTGGTTTGGTCATCATTTGAATTTCAAAGTTATCATAAATTACATAAACCCATTTAGATTAGTCGACCGTGGATCGACTATATTCTTGTCTCAGTATTTTTTTCCAAGAAATGTGAACACTTACAGCTTCTCCTATAAGGAACTCTATGCAGTTGGTGAAGGCGACGGTGACGGAGACGATGATGAACCAGGAGAGGAAGGGGAGGAGGACCCATGCCAACAGCAGCAGCACGTACAGTAGCCAGCTCACCTTCTCCACTTCCCGACCTGCACCACCACTTCATATTCACTGATAATGAACAGTACGAGAAATTCACCTTATATATATATATATTTATATATATATTTATATATTGTACCTAGTAGCCAGAATGCAGTACTTAGCCTACTATGAAAGGCGCAATTTGCCTAATAAGCCAAGTTTTCCAGAATTTATATATTTTTGTAATTTTTTTCTTTTGAAATGATAAAGCTATCCATTTCATTATGTATGAGTTAATTTGTTTCAATTTGAGTTAAAACTAATGTAAATATTTGACCGAGCCTAACGTACCCTACCTAACCTAACCTACCTTAACTTAACCTAAACTAACATATTTAACTCAATAATTTATGTTCTTAAAATAATATAATAATAATATTTCAAATAAACCAATTCGAAACAATTTTTTGAAAATAAAATCACTCGGCCTATTAGGCAAATCGGGCCTTGCATAGTAGGGCGAAAAGTATGTTCTGGCTTCTAGGTACGACATGCATATATATATATATATATATATATATATATATATATATATATATATATATATATATATATATATATATATATATATATATATATATATATATATATATATATATTATGTATATGTGTGAATACATATGCAATGTATTTGGAATTGAATGGAATCTTTCGAAATGTGAAGAGTAAACAGCAAATGGCTTTGATTAAACAGTATATAGTTAAATAATCAGATATCTTTGATTCAGCGTCACTTAAGGTGATGTGGAGGCTAGAAGAGTCTGGTATTAATTGTAGAGATGTGATGTGATTGCTTGACAACAAACTTAAATATTTTTAAGCCTAATATAGCCCGTATATGTACTATATTAGACCTCAGATAGCGTGTATTAGGCCTAGGAAGGTTAAGTTAGTTTATTTTGTCTTTGTACTATACATATAAAATCTACCGTTCTGTCCAAATTCAGTGTGTCCGATTTCTACTTTCTAATTACGTTGATCGTCGGTGTATGTACGATGGTCCTCACCGTCACTACCAGTACTACCAAAACAAGAGGATGGACGGGGGTAATATGCATGTCGAGGATACTGGTCTGTAGTTCAATGCTTTTTCCGTTCCATTTAACTGTTCCACATTTAAGCTTTAGTCTAAGTGTCTCTTTTTTTTTCCTCCCACATCTTACCCGAAATGCTATGCTAGGCTTTAGGTATTGTATGTATCCTTTGTATATTCGGGCAGTATCCTCTGCCCGAAACGCTGCGCGTACTAGTGGCTTTATAAGAATGTAATTACTATGCTGTGTATCCTCACAATCCCAATGTATCTTCTTGTATATATATAAATAAAATAAATAAAAAGTATTAGCTCTATCTATAAATCCAACATTATGTTTGTAACTCATCATCTACGTATGTACTTTTACCTGAATAAAAATTTGAATTTGCCCATCATCCAAATGCCATTGATCTCCCAAGTCAAGAGAGTGTCACTGTAGTTTTGATGCAGCTCTGCAGCTTTCCTAACTCCTTTGACACTCTCTCAGGTTACCACAATGATCTGAAGAATTTTGGGTGCGGCTCCAGGAGACTTGCACACTTCCTTGCCACGATTTAATTTTCACATTTTCTTAATCTCGTGTGACTGGTAATTTGGTTAGTCAAATTGCTGCAAAGTCATTTTTAACCAGCAACTAACTGCTTAATTTTCTCCTGATTGAGCGTATTCATTTTCGACTTGCTCTTCGCATCTTCCTGCTTGCCTTCGAACCTTGTTCACTGTACTATTAAATTGACTGTTCTTGATCTCTTGACAAGACCCAAGAAATAATCACGGAAACACGTGAGCATTACGTGTGTGTGTGTGTGTGTACTCACCTAGTCGTGCTTGCTGAGGGCTCACCAGGGCTGAACTCTGGCTCTTTGGTCCCGCCTCTCAACTGTCAATCAACTGGTGTACAGATTCCTGAGCTCTATCATATTTACATTTAAAACTGTGTATGGAGTCTGCCTCCACCACATCACTGCCTAATACATTCCACCTGTTAACTACTCTGACACTGAAAAAGTTCTTTCTAACGTCCCTGTGGCTCATTTGGGTACTCAGTTTCCACCTGTGTGCCCTTGTTCGCGTACCACCTCTGTTAAACAGTTTATCTTTATCTACCCTGTCAATTCCTCTGCTAATCATGTCTCCCCGAGCTCTCCTGTCTTCCAGCGATGCGAGGTACAGTTCACGCAGCCTTTCTTCGTAACTCATGCCTCTTAGTTCTGGGACTAGCCTAGTGGTATGCCTCTGAACTTTTTCCAGCTTCGTCTTGTGCTTGATAAGGTACGGGCTCCATGCTGGGGCCGTATACTCCAGTATTGGCCTTACACATGTGGTATACAAGGCTCTGAAAGATTCCTTACGCAAGTTCCTGAAGGCTATTCTGATGCTAACCAGCCTCGCATACGCAACCAATTTTATTTGTTTATGTGGGCTTCAGGAGACAGGTTTGGCGTGATATCAACTCCTAGATCTTTCTCTCTCCGTTTCGTGAAGGACTTCATCTCCCATTCGGTATCCAGTATCTGGCCTCCTGTTTCCACCACCTAGTTTCATTACCTTACTTTTGCTTGGATTGCGTGTGCGTGTGTGTGTAATGAACGAATGAAAGCGATCAACCATGTTTACTATTATTATTACCGATATTAATCTTAATATTATTGATTTTGCATTACCATCATGACGAGGGGAGGTTTGCGGAGCCGAGGTGGTGTGTGAGGTTATAAAGAGTGGCTGGTGTTGTGGGTTGAGAGCCACTGAGGAAGACGTGGCCGCCATCAACACTATCACTGCCATTACTGCTTCCGCCGCCAGCTCTGTCGCTCTGGTTAGAACATACACTATGATAATTTCTTCAAATGTTAACTTATTTGCGTGATGGCTATCACACCGTTTACTTAATTTTTGCACATCCCAAACATTATCAGACGTCTGTGTTGTCGCGGCCGTTGCAGCCATGTGTGTGAACTACAAACTCACCTAGTTGTGCTTGCGGGGGTTGAGTTTGGCGCAGCAAATTTTGTCTCAACTGTCTCTCACCTGTCAATCAACTGGTGTATAGATTCCTAAGTCTACTGGGCTTTATCATATCTACATTTGAAACTGTGTATCGAGACGACCTCCACCACATCACTGCCTAATGCATTCCATCTGTTAACTACTCTGACATTTAAAAAGTTCCTTCTAACGTCCCTGTGGCTCATTTGGGTACTATATTTCCACCTGTGCCCTCTTGTTTGCGTAACAAAGGTGCTAAAAAGTTGCGGATGGTACAGTCGGGTTCATTCTCGACTCACAATACAGCCCGTCCTCCAAACAAAGATCTAAAAGTGATTCCATCCACCTGCCAAACCCCCTGTTTATGAATGAAAAACGGTTTACACACGACTCACAACTGATTTCGTTCGAACACTTCTGGAACAAGTGCTTCACTGACGAGTTTTGTTCGAACCACATCGCTATAAATGCTTCACCCACGTACTACAAATCCAAATAATCGCCAACCGAACCTAAACACCTAACCTAACCTAACCTATGTCTATATATGCACAATATGCTAATATATTATAATATTAATTTATATTTGAAAAATTTTTGTTTTAAATGAACAGCATGTTAAAATTCATGAATGCGTCTGTGGGGGCGACCGCTGGATGTAATGGACTTGAGTTGAGGACGGGTTGCACAATAGAGAATCCCGGGCGGGAAAGAAATGGCTGGGCGCGTTTCCCTTTTCCCTGGGTTGCAACCAGGGGAAGGAGGGAGGGGGGTCAGTAATTTATCCCTTGGGAGGGGGGGGACCTCGATACAAGCCTAACATATACTGTATGTATAAACTGGTTGTCTGTCCCCAGACACAATGAATTAATTATGAATGAATGTAAAAATCTCCGCCAAGATCTGATTAAAACTTTATGTGCCCTATGTAATCCTTTTTGCGCTACCGCTCACAGGACGAGTATGGGGTGCACAACAAACTATCCGCCTCCTGTGGCAACAATCAGTCATTGGCAATAAAAGAGCTGAGTGGATGAACTGCCAGCATTTTACTTGACAAGCAACTTACATAGCCTTCCCGGTTTGGTGCCTTCTTTTGATAATTACTTACTTGACAAGCAACATTAATTAGCATCATCTAATATAACATGCTCTCTCCCTTACAACAAAGGTTATTTTTTGTTTCTGTGAAGGCACAGCTATCCAAAACCCGTGCACAATTACGTTGCCACAGAATACTGCTCACTATCAATTAGATGGTCGTCGACTAAAGTAGCAATAAGAAGCTCCATGTCAAATTTTCCACAAACTTTGCTGGGCCATCACGTCTCAACGAATTAAATGTACTCAGTAGAGATCGCGTGCATCGGTGAGGAAGAACTGGGCGTGATATTAACATATCCTCATTCTCCGGGGTGGGGGGGTTCTGGGACAACACTGAGAGGGTAAGGGGGGGGGGGGGGGGTTCTGGGACAACACTGAGGGGGGGGGGGTGTTGGGACAGCACTGGGGGGATGGTCTAGAACAGCCATAATGTTAACATTACAATCTAAACTACTAGGTCAGAGGTCACTCACCTTCAAGTGCCAAGTCAAAAGTCGCTCATATATGAGGCCAAGTTCAATGATATCTTCTCCGAAGCCCAGGTCGCCGCTCCTCAGCACATGGCGTCAACTGGACGTATAATGCAACAATAATTGCCAAACAAACATTACTGCCTCTCGTGAACCACCGAACTCTGGTCGGCGGAAAGCAGCTGTGAATCCCTAGTGTATTTGTCAACAGCAGCTGAATCTTTTAACTGTCATACTGTACACCATATTTAAATTCTTGTGATGACTTTGTCGTTTTGGCCAAGCAAATAAAAATTAATTTATATTCTATAATGTAATGGAAACCTTTGTTTTTAAGAGTCACTGGATGGAATCAGTCCGCAGACAAGTATCAAACGAAGGCGCTAAGCCGAGAAGACTATGTAGCACCGCCTGTGTGATTGGATATTCAAGAGGCGCTAAATATAACTCAAAGTGCCAATGCATTTTGCTAAATATAATAAAAGGATATTAGGTGAGCGATCTCAAAGGTATCAGATTCCCCCTTTTTTAGTGTCGTCTACGTTCTCTTTCTACGCTGGACCTCTTTCTGGCCTTCCTCAAAGGAACATATTTGACTTAGTATGCTTCCGAAGTCAATTTTTCTATTCCTTCTATAGGCTTTTTATTAGAACAGTTTCCCACAGAATGTTTGTAAGTTCCCTGTTTATTGTCTCCCAGTCTACCCTTTTATTATTGGTAACGAGCGTAGGTAAGCCCACATAGTCCGGTAAGGACAGCGGCGGGGAGGGGTTGTCAAGCGGGCCAGGCTGAGTAGGAACGGGTAAGGTAATCCAAGGCAAGGCAGGGAGGAAACGTTGGCCGGTGACACCGACGGTCTCGATCGTAGTGGAGTGAGGGAAGAATTATTATTATTAACATCTTTATTGCAAGTGTCGGGGTTTAAGGCTTCGAAACTGTTGCGGACCTGAGAAAGGGAAGGGCAGTGATGTAAAGGAGTGCGTGTAGAGGAGCAGAGGTAGAGGTGGTCGTGGAGTGTCATTATGGCATGACTTATGCTCGTAATGCACGAGCATAAGTCATGCGAGAAGTGAAGGAAATAAGTAAGTAATTATCAAAAGAAGGCACCAAGCCGGGAAGGCTATGTAGCACCATCAAATAAATGTGCGGAATAATCATAGGGCGCTAAATATCACTAAGGATGCCAATATGAGAACAGAAACACATAAGGCGAACGATATAAAAAGTATCCAATTCACCAAGAATTCTATCGAGGGACACGTGACCGCGAGGAACGGTCGGAATGAAGGAAACAAAGTGAAGTGTCTTGCTTGGGGAAAGATATGCACGAGATCTTGCTTAAATTTATAGTGTATAGTGTATTTATAGTGTATAGGGTCGACAAATACCTGATAAAACAGTGGCCATCCAACTTGTCCTCTCGAATAATTACATCGCAGTTTTGACAAGAAAAGTTTTTTCCCAATAGAGAAAATATGATATACTATAAATATTAGAGCTCACAAATATTCACATTTTCTGCGGGTGGGTCGCGTGGTAGGTTAGGGTCGGACGTTCTAGTACATAATTTTCTGTCCGTAGTGGCAACTGAAGAGGACGGCCTGGGGCATCACTACACTTGATGCAGTGAACATAGAGAGAACATTCTGACCAAGCATGTGTGGTTCAGGAGAACCACACAAGAGATAAAGACACTAGTTACTACAATTAAGGTCCATGCCCGAAATTTCAAGCACCTATTGCCAAGAAGTGATGGGATGTGTTCCTGAACAGTGCATCTGGCACCAACAAGAATTACCAAAGATGGGAGACACCGACTATCAAAAAGTTATCTTTACCATCCTAAGAGGACTATGACGACGACTGTGAGACGGATCGAGCAAAGAGAGCGCGCCAAGCCATTACGACGCCCTAACCACACGCCAGAAGATAAGACGACGACTTTTCGCCGTCTCGATAGTTGACTTGATTATGGTCCAGGACGGACCGAAATGTCGTCGTCTCCTTATCTTCTGGAGTGTGGTTTGGTCATCATATCTTCAGCCATGTTATTGTGACTCATCGACTGTATATGAGGATAGGAAAACCTTAGGCCTCAAGAATATATTTAATAACCTTAAAGTTTCCTGTTCCTGGTGCAGAACTGTGGGGCAGGAGTACGAGGACTGTGCTGATGCTGGCATTCAACAGGACATTATTGGAGACTCAAACTGGGGGCCTCACAAGTGCAAGATAATGCATCTAGGAAGGTGGTCACCGCCTTAGAAGAGGCCTCAACAATACAAGTGCCAATCTAGGTGGGATTAAATTGAATGCGTGAATCCAGTGTGTCAACAAGGTGTGTATGCAAATTGTCAGGGCTGATACAGTTATGGCAGACATCAAAATATTTTGGCCATGTAACGGGGCCAAATAGACCATGGTATGTAGCAGGGGTTGTGAGTATGTTCCCATGGACCTCCCTAAGAAGGGGACAGAAGGTGTTGTAATAACCATCAAAGACCTAGTCACCCCAGGTAACGAATTAGTCACCACGGGGGACTTAGAGGGCAACCCTGCTAAGGAAGAGGCTGAGGATGGCAGATTGGTGCCATACTAGCATGCAGTCAACCTGGCCACTTTACTTTAGTGTTTTGGTTTAGGTTAGGTTGAGGTAGACTGCACACCAGCTAAAGTCACGGTAGACATGTCAGATCATTACACAGCATAGACGAATACTGCAGTAAATTGCATACTGAAGTAGGACCGAGAGATCAGTAAGGATAGTCAAAGATGAAGTCTAGCCTGAGCCAACCACAGCTGGAGGTATGAAGCCAGATCTATCACAGTCCAATTAAGGAGCCTAGTTGCCTGGGCTGAGAAGAGCTCAGGAGGCAACATATAAGGTTAAATTGGATTTTACTGCCCTATACTCACTATGTGGCCTAGCTCAATAAGGAGAGGCATAAGCACATAGGCAATCTCGGGGGATAATAGACACCGCCAGTCTCCGTGGTGTAGGGGTAAGACGCTCACCTGGCGTTCCGCGAGCGCTTTGTCCTGGGTTCGTATCCTGGCCGGGAAGGATTGACTGGACGCAAATCCTTAATTGTAGCCACTGTTTAACTCAACAGTAAAATGGGTACTTGGTTGTAAACACGACTTGGGGGTCGTATTCTAGGGACCATAGGATTAAGTACTTGCCTGAAACGCTACGGGTACTAGTGGCTGTACAAAAATGGAAGAACTCTTGTATATATCTCAAAAAAAAAGTATGCATGGGGTTTGCATATTTTTTTGCATATTCAAATCATTGAAGGGTTTGAATATTATCCCAGGGATTGATGGGGATACCAATTCTGCAACGCCCACTTGACCGAATATCTAACAAGGTGACCTAACCAGATGAGCCGATTGATTCAGGTGGGCCACACTGGTTATCTTGAGATGATTTCGGGGCTTTAGTATCCCTGCGGCCCGGTCCTCGACCAAGCTTCCACCCCCCAGGAACCAGCCCGTGACAGCTGACTAACTCACAAGAACACAAGAACAAAGGCAACTGCAGAAGGCCTATTGGCCCATACGAGGCAGCTCCTATTTATAACCACCCAATCCCACTCATATACTTGTCCAACCCACGCTTGAAACAATCGAGGGACCCCACCTCCAGCACGTTACGCGGTAATTGGTTCCACAAATCAACAACCCTGTTACTGAACCAGTATTTACCCAACTCCCAGGTGCCTATTTACTACTAGGTAACAGGAGCATCAGGGTGAAAAACTCTGCCCATCGTTTCTCGCCGGCGCCCGAGATCGAACCCGGGACCACAGGATCACGCGTCCAGTGTTCTGTCCGCTCAGCCACCGGCTCCCTAAAAAAACCACTGAACCCTGTTTTATCCATCTCCCCACCAAAGAAGCATGTTGCCCCCCCCCCACTCTTCCCTGGAGCTGCATATGCTGGAAAGGCTCAACAACCTGATAAAGGAACAATGGGGAATGCATGGGTCTCCACACATGGTGAACACAGGTGAATTTCAGTTGGGTACCATGACAACAGGCAGGAAAGGGGAGTAAGAATCTCCCCCACCTACTCTCGTGCACATAAAGCCCCCTACATGGAACTACCCACTGAGGGGGAAAATGCTGGGTAAATGACTACAATTAAATAACTGTTGATCTTCTATTGAATATTACCTTAGCATTAATTCCCATTGGGTTGTAATAGACAGCATTTATAACATGGGAATAAAAACTTTCTAGCAAAATACTTAAATTTCCAACTGCTGCAACATGATACTTCCCCCACCACACTATGCCTTTTTTAATAAACTTTTCTCATTCTCGGCCACAACTCTTATTCACATATTTGAGCTTCAAAATGAATGTTTTTAATTTACTCAACTTGGAAAAAAAGCAAGTAATGCAGACAATACTGCATATTTTCTACTTTTCCCTTACCCAGTTTATAAACTTATAAGCTAAAAATTCTCTTTATTTCCATAATTTGGAACTCTCCAAATAATTCAATACTCATACAAAGGATCTTGCAAGTGATTGGCACGTGGGAAAAATTTTATGAGGTACAAAAGATAACTGCATAAAGTTAATGGTAAGACAATTATTTACCAAATTATTTGTTTTTTTTTCATTTTTTAAATATTGGATAAAGTTCCTCTTGAAATTTACATATTATTGCTGAATAAGGTTTTAAATAATGTCTAAAATTTTGACAATTATATTGGTAAAATTATACTCGTCCATTTTATGAAGGAATATATAACGTATAGAAAAATAAAATCCATTATTAATTCTTTATTTTAATTTTTTATAAAAATAAATAAAGCCTAAGGGGTTGTGACTGTGGAGGGAAGTGGGTGAGGTATGATTGTCGAATGAAAGCATATAATATAAATATAATATCTGCAAGATTTAATATCTGGAAATGCTTTCAGAAATATGAAGTGAATAGTGAATTAAGAAATTTGTTCTTTTAAATGAATAGAAAGTGACTTAAGTTTTATATAAGCTATGAAGCATAACAATCATTGTCATGTGTAGTGAAATTTGTTGGGCGAAGCAGTGAAGTTCTTTAATTTTTACCGGATACATGAGCGTGTAACAGCATAATATAGTGCAAGTAGCTACTGAAATTTTTATGAAAAATAAATATTAAAATTAAAGAGTATATTCAGGAGTGGAAAAAACAAAGGTGCGAAGTATGTTAAGTGTTTAGTACTCGCATAGAAAACTGTAGACAAATACTAAATGTGTTATTTAAGTGAGGCAAGTATTATTAATGGAGAACTAAAAGCAAGAGGAAGGAAAAACAAATAACAAAATAAAATTAAAATTATCTATGAATTTTTCATTTGGCATAGTGTAGCCTGCTATTCTGTAGTAATAAAATATCCCAAGATACTTATGGCACAAAAAAATTGTTTTAGAGTACATAATGTAAGATTGAAGCAATGATCTTTCTACTGACATCCGTCTTCCTGTTTCTTTCATACTCCATGTAAGTAGGCTAAGCCAGCCTTAATTCATTTTTCATGTAAGAATTTATGGAACCTAGAAATGTGTGCTTAAGTTGACAACCTACCCCGTAAGTTTCAACTGAAGTATAGATATCATAATGAAATACAGTAGATCTATCGGAGCTGGGATGATCATCACCGAGATGCGTGTTTGAAGAATCATTGTGCATGATCTCTTAAAAATACTAATGCATGTTTAGTAAAGTACAGTATTTTATTTGATGAAATAAAAAAAATTCATCAATATAAAATATTAAATTCTAATCCCCCTTCCCTCCCTAAAAATAAAAATTACCTTGACATACGAATAAAAACTTTAAAATTTTTATCAAACTTGTGAAGAATTTATTATATCTACTGTATATATATATATATATATACATCTATATTTTGTGTGTGTGTGAATATGTATGCGTGTGCATGTGTATGCGTGTGAAAATATAGTGTGTGTGTGTGTGTGTGTGTGTGTAATGCAAAATATAATGATATATTTATAGAAAAAAAAAATCATATAGCCTAAACAGGTACTGGTCAGGTATTAATGTGACTATGCAAACAAATGTACATGTGAAAGTTACTCAAGACAAGATAGGGAATATAATTCATAGCAAATAACTTACGCTGTTTAGAAGTAAATCCAATATTTTAAAGTTAGTATTAAGATTAGTTAACTTTTGAGACTACCAGTCCAAGCCTTTAAGGATAATACTAAAGTCTTTCAAGTTGAAGCATCAGAGCGCTAGCATGCATATACAGCGGTTTATTAACCTGCTGAATTTCCTATATTAGTTCATTAAATAATTAGGGCCATATCAGGGAGATGCACTTTGATGAGAGCTTTAAAAACCATGATACGTATATATACCAGTATTCTGATGTCAGTGATATCTATATACTGTAAATGGAATGTACACATTAAAAGAATAATGACACCAGAATTTGTATGTTTTGGGGCAGCCTGCTGAAGGTTTGAACTTGGATGGGAGATGTGAACATAGTTGTAAATGCATCTCCTAAATATGTATCTTAGTAGCTGAGGAAGGTGGAGAAGGGCAAGTTAAACGCTGGATTTGTACGAAACATTTTATATTATAGAGAATAGGAGATTATAAAATGAAATACATTCTGCATCTTGAGGAGGATTAAAGTGCACTGTCCAGCTTGTATGTTGCATCAGTAGTTCACTGTCTCAGTAAATCCATTCCCAAGGTTGTCAGTAACAAGCCTTCTCGATTAATCTAAATTTTGGTTTAGATGATTAAATTGAGTTAATATTAAAAATATATTTACAGGTAAATTTCTTCCTAAGTAAGCTTATGTAATGAAAATCCTGACAGTTAGTCTCCTAACAATGATTTCACATTCAGATTTATTCCAAGCAAGTTGGAACACTGATAAAAACAAGGATTGTCTCTAATATCATCTCATTTAGAAGTATAAAGTTTTTATCACTTACATTTTCAGAAACTAAATGTCATGAGCAACAATGACAATGCTTCAGATGCACCAAAGAATTCCACCTCTGAAGGTGACAAGTAGAATTACATTTCAATGCTAATGAAATGTTGTACCCACACCAACCATAAATGATTTCAGCAATTTCAATGCATAAAGTCAAGATAAAACTGAAATTAATTAAATATGCAAGTCAGTAAGATATTACTGGAATATTTCATTGTTCAGTAACAGCCTTGCTCTAAGGAAACTGAAACTACTGTAGACAGGTTGGAGATGGGTCAACATCGGCACTAAGTACCTCTGAATGGGGCAGATGGCAACTGTGCTCTCCTCACTAGCTAACTTAAGTGGGGTAGCACCAGAAAAATAAAATTAATAAAAAGAAAAATCAGTAAGAAAAATAAATTAAAGTAAAAAATGAAAAATATAATAAAATGAAAAATAAAATGAAAATAGAGTACTGTAATTCCAAAAAAGGAGCCTTCATATTTATGAAAATAATAGAATAGGGAGTTTGTGCATAAATGATTAAACATTTTGTTTCACTTATGTTAAAATGAACACTTTTAGGATAATCAGAGTACACATAAGTATACAGTACATCCAATTACATGCATGAAAAAAATTGAACTAGAGCAGCTAGAGCTCCGAGGAAGTCACAACCAAGATAAGGCAACATAAAAGAAGGCTATTTAACAAGGCTGAATTTGTATCCTATGCAGGAAATTGGCACATGTGCTTACAACGGCTTATCCACAAGTAATGAAAAAGGAACCTCCACCCTATAATGGTTTGATGTTAATGCATAATACATACTACTTAAATCTACTTGTGATAATTCTGGTAAGTACAACTACTTACGATAATATTTGCACATACTGAGACGAAGGCGAATCTTGGATGCTTTCCAAACATCCAAGTATGGCACAAACAACGGCGACAATGGGAAAACTAAAAATATAAATGACCTTCGTACATTAGGCTTTCTACCCCAACAACACTTCAGTTACTTGTCATTGCATAGGTTCATGCTTAAGTACAATAAATGGTTAAGTACAGTTATGAGATGATGAACAACTATGTACACAAGTGTCACACCTTCACCTGATAACATTCATTAACTGCCATACAATCAGCAATATCAAACCCCTAAAAAATACTACAGCATGGCATCCACTCCATTCTTAAGTAGAAGATCTGCCATTTGAGTCTTCTTAAGGCATATAGTTGCATATTGTGGCACATTTTAACTTCTATTGGCACATTAAACACTATCTGAGAGGTCTACTAGGCTCCACTATAGAAGGCACTTGGGGAACTGACGTAATGTGTATACGGAAGGCTTCAAAATAGCGTTTTTGAAGTCTTTGTAAGACCAAAAATAAACAAAGGCACTTTTATTATTATTATTATATTCAACTAATATTAAAATATGTATATACGAGCCTAACAGTTTTGAAATTAATAAATATAATTTCTTTCTGGGAATCCTACTTTAAATAAGTCCCCCTGGATCAAAATTTCTAGATTACTCTCTCAAATACTGTACATTCAATTGTCCCATTAACATTTAACAAAAACAATTCTTATAAATCAGTTTATGTGAAGATACCCCACATTTTACCATTCATCCTCCAAGCACAAAATATTTGCCATATATTCCTTAAAGGAAAATTTGTGTGTAAAATACTGAGCTTTAAAGCTTGCAATTATATTTCAAAGTGTTAATTTACCCCTAACACTTTATGCAAATATCTTTGGATTAAAATTTGAATTATTTCATTAAAAAATATTGTGGTATGGTAGTGTCTATATTTTTATTTTAGGCAAGTCCTTCAACGTGCACAAAAAAATAATCTTGAGTGAAAGAAATGTCTTAAAATGAGTTTATGTGCATTTTCTTTGGGCTTATAAATGAACACAACGTAGGCAAAAATGATTGAATAACGTGCAATAATAAGAGGAATGTCCTATATCAAATGAACATTCCTATTTAATAATCAGTTAAATCTAGAAAGTTTGATCCAGGACAACCAACCTTTATGCTAAAATTATAAATCTTTTTAAGTGGTAATATATATGGCATATCAATCTTTATATCAGCAAGCTTGTACCATACATGATTTAGGGACCAAAGTTGTCTATATTAGTTTCATGCTTATTACTGTCTACACAAACTGCTCTTAAGTAAACTTGTACAAGATGCTCTCTAATCTCATCCCCATTAATGAGCTGTGTATCATAACCATATCCTGCACTTGCTTTACAATTTTATGATGCCTTCGTAAAATTATTTTCTAGATACTTTCAAGATTTTCCATGTTAAAAAATTTACTTAACACTGGAATTCAAAATAAGCTGCACCTTCACTCTGGCTTTATCTTGACAACATTACTTGGTAATCTGTTATTGGATGAGAGGTTACCAATCCAATAACTCGCATAAAATGAGGCTTATAAAAAGGCTCAAACCTGTCATATGACACTTTGTAATAGAAGCTATCGAGATTCTTTAAACAACTATCTGCTATTCTATTTAATAAAGATATAACACCAACAACACAAAGACCCTAACGATAAAGCTGTGTGACCAAGCTTAACATTAGCACCATCTCTAAATGCACACTGTATATAGTACCAGTCTCGAGTAACAACTTCATTACGCTGTATACAAATATACTAAATTTCCTCACTGATTCATCACTTCTGTTACTTCAGAGTCGAAGTAGGAGCTGCCTGTTTCTGAGCATTGTTCCACCCTAGGAATGCTTTGAACTTTGTAAAGGAGGTTTTTGTTGTGCTATTTAGTAATTCTACACAAGTTAGTACTTTAAAGTTTAGTTGACAAACTGGATGTTGTCATGCCCCATGGGCAGGCAGTAGGAACAAGTGGGCACCAAGGCCTCCACAAATGTGCACAGGTTTCCCTGTGCCCGCCCAGAAGGTAGCAAGCCCTGCCCTTATTCACGTATCGGCAGTGTGGCAGCTGCAAGACCAAGAGGTCATCAACTTGCCCTTGTTCTTGGGCGGCATTAAGCTGCACAGAGGGCACGTACCAACGATCGTGGAGCTGGGTGGGCGATGCAGCAGCACCCAGAGCGCAGCGCGGTTAGTGGTGTGTCCTAGGGTGAGTGGTGGTGGAGTGGTGGTGGTGGTGGTGGTGCCTCAGTGCTGGTCAGTAGTGACACGAGGGACACAAGAGAAGGAGCCCGGGGCGGGTTAGCAACGCGCCAGGTCAGCTGAGGGACCAGGATCATCCGAGCCAGAGGGGAGTTAACAGAAAAAGAGAAACGAATGTTAGTACATTACACTGGTGCAGGATGCCCCAGCAAAATAATCTAAATATTATTATGATTAATAATTATTATGAACTTTACACGTGAAGGTGCACTGCATCAACCACCCTTGAACCCACTGGCTGAGGACACAAAGCTGCAGTATATATGTACAGTGCCCACCTACAGTTTTGCTCTACAGTGCCCTGCTTGGCAACATGCATGCGGAACCACCCCGCCATGTGAGTGACAGCGCCAGCCATGAACAGGTAGCAAAGGATTTAGGATAGGTGAAAGATAGAAAGCAGTACCCTATAGTTCAGGGCAAACAGAATGCAGGAATAACTACAGAAGTAATGATGTGTATAAAAAATACAGTCGTGTGTCCTGAGTGAGGTTATGGAATGATAATGAACACGGACAGTATTTAATTGTTTTGTGTTAACAATGAAATATTCCAATACAAATGAGGCAGTAAACCTTAAGTCTAACTTGAGTTCCATAACTATGATGTATTTCAGGAACAATACAGTGCTGAAGATATTTTCTTTTATAACCTTATTATGAAAGAATTGTTAGCAAGACATCATGGGTTGAACTAAAGACTACTACTATAAACACACTACTCCAGTCATCAAAGACAGTCAATTAAAATCTTGGCAATTTAATCTCTTAAAAATCATTAAAAATCAGAGTTAAAATAAAAAAGACTGAGTAACATACACATAATAAAATTGGAAGTTTAAGTGTACTCTCTAAAGACTTTAGAACTGGACACATTGTAATAAAAAGTATTCTGAAAGTGACTAGTATAAAATTACAAGTTCAGTACTGTACTTGATAAAACAAACTTACAAGATTTTTGAGTACAAGAAAATTTGACAATTAGAATATGAATTACACTAACTACAGCCAAAGCTGATCATATCTATGATAATTGGGTGTGTGTTTTTCAGCTATACAAGGACAAATATTATGCACCGTTCTCGCACTGAAATAACACTAACCGTAATAATTACCAGTAAAGAAAATAAGCTAGCGGGAAATGTTAAACATAAAAAAAAATATATATCTGCTGTTAACTATACTAATGGCTTTGGCAGAATGAGCCACCTGAGCCAATTAAATAAATATGCAAAAGTAAATGCTAAAGTATAAGAAAAGGTGGTAAGGAAATTGTGTGTGTATGTTGCACACCTTGGCCGGTGGGATCACTCACTCACTCTGTGCGTGCGGGCATGTGTGCAAGCGTGTGCGCAAGCGAGTGAGCAAGCAAGCATGCGTGTGTTACTCACCTAGTTGTGCTTGCGGGTGTTGAGCTTTGGCTCTTTGGTCCCGCCTCTTAATTGGGCTTTATCATATCTACATTTGAAACTGTGTAAGGAGTCTGCTTCCACCACATCACTTCCTAAGCATTCCATTTGTTAACTACTTTGATACTAAAAGAGTTCTTTCTAATGCCTCTAAGGCTTATTTGGGAACACTATTTCTACCTGTGCCCCAGAGTTAAATAAACTGTCTATTTATCCTATCAATTCCTCTGAGAATCTTTTATGTGGTGCTCATGTGTGTAATTACCTAAGTGTAGTTACAGGATGAGAGCTACGCTCGTGGTGTCCCGTCTTCCCAGCACTCTTTGTCATATAACGCTTTGAAACTACTGACGGTCTTGGCCTCCACCACGCATGTGTGTACATGCATTTGTGTGTGTGTTTATACCTCATGTCTTTTACACTAATGTGAAGGATATAATGAAGGAGTTGCCTTTTTTTTTTTAACATGCACAATATTCTTTCATTATATTCTTCCCTCACTTGGCTCTAGAAAAATGTATCACCGCCCCATTGAACTGTGATTGGGTAATTAATAATTATGTATAATGTACAGTATATATTAGATATACAATGCTTATTTGTAAGCAAATTGTGCAGTGTTGCAAAGGACTTGGTATAATGAAATGAAAACAATTTGAAAAAAGGCAAAAAGCAGGTAATGGGGGGGGGTGGAAGCAGAGGGTGATGGCCAGGGGGGAGGAAAGCAGCAAGGAAAGCAGAGGGTGCTGGCCAAAGGGAGGGAGCAACAGAGGGTGCTGGCCAAAGGAAGGAAGCAGGAGAGGGTGCTGGCCAGGGGGGAAGGAGGAGCAGAGGGTGCTGGCCAAAGGGACAGAGCAGCAGAGGGTGCTGGCCAGGGGGGAAGGAGGAGCAGAGGGTGCTGGCCAAAGGGACGGAGCAGCAGAGGGTGCTGGCCAGGGGGGAAGGAGGAGCAGAGGGTGCTGGCCAAAGGAAGGAAGCAGGAGAGGGTGCTGGCCAAAGGGAGGGAGCAGCAGAGGGTGCTGGCCAGGGGGGAAGGAGGAGCAGAGGGTGCTGGCCAAAGGGACAGAGCAGCAGAGGGTGCTGGCCAGGGGGGAAGGAGGAGCAGAGGGTGCTGGCCAAAGGGACGGAGCAGCAGAGGGTGCTGGCCAAGGGGGAGGAGCAGCAGAGGGTGCTGGTCAAAGGGACGGAGCAGCAGAGGGTGCTGGCCAAAGGGACGGAGCAGCAGAGGGTGCTGGCCAAAGGGAGGGAGCAGCAGAGGGTACTGGCCAGGGTAAAAGGAGCAGCAGAGGGTGCTGGCCAAAGGGAGGGAGCAGCAGAGGGTGCTGGCCAAAGGGAGGGAGCAGCAGAGGGTGCTGGCCAGGGGGGAAGGAGGAGCAGAGGGTGCTGGCCAAAGGGACGGAGCAGCAGAGGGTGCTGGCCAAGGGGGAGGAGGAGCAGAGGGTGCTGGCTAAGGGGTAAAGTAGAGAGTGCTGGCAGTAGTGGCAGTATTCAAATATTTTCTGATGTTAATGATGGTGGGGTATATAGGAGGGTTTAGTCATTTATAATCATGCATATGTTTTGTGCGTATTGTTGGGTGCATGTATACAGTAATGCACACATACATGTACACCATGTGAACATTTACACATGAACCAATTTATTCAGTTATTTACAATTAAGAGCAAATGGTGGTATTTGTGCAGGCTCTTAAGATGGACTGGGATACAAAGATTATTAGTACAGCTTGTAAGAAGTTTTTGAATATAAAGCTTTAGTGGTAAGTCTTTAGGAATGTAGGTGGGTATGAGCACAACTTGTGCTTTATTTGCAAATATTGTATAACTATGAGCATTATGAAAATAAAGAAAATTTAAAGCAAAAAGAAAAAATGAAAACATTTGCAGCAAACTTTGATACTTTACTGGAAGAAGCGCATAGTTATGTAATAAAGTTTGTATCTGTAAAAAGACAAATGTTTCAAGAAAACAATCCAACACTTTTGCAATACATTTGTTGTTGCATCATTCGATCCTAGGTAACAATTTTGTTTCTCCAACCACTGTGCGTGTGTCACGGTGACGCACCTTGTACTCCTGACATTTTTTTCAGTAAGAGACTTTTCGAAAATTTTATATCAAAACTATGTTTTAAACTAATAAAAAGTTAAAAAATTAAGCTTTTTAATGTTTTGCACTGCCTACAATTTATGGCTCTGCTGAAAAGGTATGGTTCACAAATATTTTATTGAATGAACATTAATTTCATTAAGCATCAATTTCCATAGAATTACAGAGTCATTCATTTGCCCCCCTCCTTCCTCAAAAGAAAATCCTGAAATATTTACAGCATAAACTTTGGGAGACACGTATTGACACATCCTACTTTACAATGTCGACAAAATTTGTGCGCGAGTATACTCAAACAAACTTCTGAACATTTTTATATAAAATCAATACTGCATCCTATAAGTAGTTTTGCAAACTGAAAATGAGTTTTACCGACAAGTTGCACTCTAAGTCGAAGATGCATTCTTAAACTTCACTTCAATTTATGATAGAAATTTATTGTATTATATTCATTTATATAGGGTGCCACTTCTGTTGTGTTTGTAGGGACCCCTCAGCCTCAAAGAAGGGGATAGCAAGCACCCAAGGGCAGCCTTGTGGGGCTCCCCTGTGCACTCGTATATTTTCTTCTATCACCCCTTACATAATATACATGTACACATGTACATATATCCATAATATATATGTATTATGATCATAAATAGGTGCAAAATATATAAATATTTATAAATCTTCATTAACTTGGCAAGTGCCTTGCACCCCCAACATTTAGCAAATTTATTTCCTTCCTACACTCAAGAACATAAATTTTCAAGCATCGATACAAAATCAATGTTCTAACCCAATAAACAGACTCGCAAACAAATTAGCATAAACATTTTCTGTATGCTTAGCGAGCAGCTGAAGAGGGTTGTGTTTAATTCATAAAGTAAAGCTGGCACCACCTCAGAACTTGGAAATGTTAATAAATACAGCAGCTTTCATAGAGCTTTTGCTATACATTGAAAGCTTTAGTAATGAGAATTCTGCCAAACATATCTAAGATATATATACAGTTGTATACTGTATACAGAAAAACAATATAATCTATAACTTTTTATACTATAAAAAATACTATACTTTTTTACTATAAAACTATATTGTACGTAAAAGAATTTAATGGTGCTCTGAATGAGACTAACTTGTCAATTGTGAAAACCAGGAATATCACCTTAGTGTTCTTTATGTATAAATATTACAATGAATGTGAAAAAGATGGATGAATGATTTAAAAAAAAAAAAAGAAGGCTTTGAAAGTATGGGTCACTGAAAGAAAGCTCAACCCAGAAGCATAAAAGATAACGAGTCAAAGATAGAAGGTTTTCAACATACTATTCTACGGCTACTGTCCCCACTACTGGCTGGTTCCTCAGGCAAGCACACACGGCCTTAAGACCATTAGTCAGGATTGTACGTTAGTCATGACTACGGCCCAACAAATACCTCGAGGTTGGTTAGTTGTCTTTATGCAACTGGTGATTAATTACAATATTTTACTTTTCTAAGGATGACTATTTCTTCTTTGTATTACTCTTATTCACTTAATGGTGTTGGAGAATCCTTATTTATGCTTTGTTTTTGTCTTCTTGGAATGAAAAGCATTATTTACTTTTCTTCATCAATTTATTTCATGACTTATTGGTATTCAAAGATCCAGAGATATACAGATACTTTGGGCTCCTGTAGCTGTGACCTGTACTTCAGAACAAAGAGACCACAATATATTCTTGGGTCCCAGTTTTCAGTGGTGATGCAACCACAGTCCTTATTAACTACCCTTCTTAAAGCATAATTAAAAATGACTTAAATTACAATAAATGGAAACATATAGCAGACAACTCCCAAAATGTGAGGCAGGTCAGAATGGTCAGACACACAACACTGATGTAGTGCTCATTATCTACTCATACTACTACTTTCTTCTTAAAACTTCTGTCTTATCAACACCATCTAACAAAAGACATCCTGTGCAAGGCAAATGCTCTCATCAAGAAAGAGCCTTCGATGGGATTTAAACAAAAATTAACCAGAATCTGAACTGAAATAAAAATGAACCCCCCAACCACAGACCAATCTAGAAATTATCAAGTATATGTGGATGTAATTTATATCATTTTTTTCCCTCTACCCACAGCATATTTATTTTGTACTGTGGGCTTCCGCTCAAACTGGCGAGTCGACCAGAAAGCCAGATGCAACTGCAGGCTTTCGTTCCCGTAAGTAATTTCCAGCATAAAATAATCAAAGATTTCCATAGTGAATTTATGCATTTTTGGACAGGCATTCAGTATAGGGAAAGGGAAAAATTATTTTGATATGAAAATATTTAGCGAAAGTGAGTTCCTTTATTTGCACTAATAAAAACAACCATTTGGTATAAAATTTTATATATATATATATAATATATATATATATATATATATATATATATATATATATATATATATATATATATATATATATATATATATATATATATATATATATATATATATATATATATATATATATATATATATATATATATATATATATATATGTCGTACCTAGTAGCCAGAACTCACTTCTATGCCTACTATGCAAGGCCCGATTTGCCTAATAAGCCAAGTTTTCCTGAATTAATATATTTTCTCTATTTTTTTTCTTATGAAATGATAAAGCTACCCATTTCATTATGTATGAGGTCAATTTTTTTTTATTTGAGTTAAAAATAACGTAGATATATGACCGAACCTAACCAACCCTACCTAACCTAACCTAACCTATCTTTATAGGTTAGGTTCGGTTAGGTAGCCGAAAAAGTTAGGTTAGGTTGGGTTAGGTAGGTTAGGTAGTCGAAAAACAATTAATTCATGAAAACTTGGCTTATTAGGCAAATCGGGCCATGAATAGTAGGCATAGAAGTGCGTTCTGGCTACTAGGTACGACATATATATATATATATATATATATATATATATATATATATATATATATATATATATATATATATATATATATATATATATATATATATATATATATATATATATATATATATATATATATATATATATATATATATATATATATATATATATATATATATGTCGTACCTAATAGCCAGAACGCACTTCTCAGCCTACTATTCAAGGCCCGATTTGCCTAATAAGCCAAGTTTTCATGAATTAATGTTTTTTCGTCTACCTAACCTACCTAACCTAACCTAACCTAGCTTTTTTGGCTACCTAACCTAACCTTACCTATAAATATAGGTTAGGTTAGGTTAGGTAGGGTTGGTTAGGTTCGGTCATATATCTACGTTAATTTTAACTCCAATAAAAAAAAATTGACCTCATACATAGAGAAAAGGGTAGCTTTATCATTTCATAAGAAAAAAATTATAGTAAATATATTAATTCAGGAAACTTGGCTTATTAGGCAAATCGGGCCTTGAATAGTAGGCTGAGAAGTGAGTTCTGGCTACTAGGTACGACATATATATATATATATATATATATATATATATATATATATATATATATATATATATATATATATATATATATATATATATATATATATATATATATATATATATATATATATATATATATATATATATATATATATATATATATATATATATATATATATATATATATATATGTCGTACCTAGTAGCCAGAACGCACTTCTCAGCCTACTATGCACGGCCCGATTTGCCTAATAAGCCAAGTTTTCATGAATTAATGTTTTTTCGACTACCTAACCTACCTAACCTAACCTAACCTAACATTTTCGGCTACCTCACCAAACCTAACCTATAAAGATAGATTAGGTTAGTTTAGGTAGGGTTGGTTAGGTTCGGTCATATATCTATATTAATTTTAACTCCAATAAAAAAAAATTGACCTCATACATAATGAAATGGGATGCTTTATCATTTCATAAGAAAAAAATTAGAGAAAATATATTAATTCAGGAAAACTTGGCTTATTAGGCAAATCGGGCCTTGCATAGTAGGCTGAGAAGTGCGTTCTGGCTACTAGGTACGACATATATATATATATATATATATATATATATATATATATATATATATATATATATATATATATATATATATATATATATATATATATATATATATATATATATATATATATATATATATATATATATGTCGTACCTAATAGCCAGAACGCACTTCTCAGCCTACTATTCAAGGCCCGATTTGCCTAATAAGCCAAGTTTTCATGAATTAATGTTTTTTCGTCTACCTAACCTACCTAACCTAACCTAACCTAGCTTCTTTTGGCTACCTAACCTAACCTTACCTATAAATATAGGTTAGGTTAGGTTAGGTAGGGTTGGTTAGGTTCGGTCATATATCTACGTTAATTTTAACTCCAATAAAAAAAATTGACCTCATACATAGAGAAAAGGGTTGCTTTATCATTTCATAAGAAAAAAATTATAGTAAATATATTAATTCAGGAAAACTTGGCTTATTAGGCAAATCGGGCCTTGAATAGTAGGCTGAGAAGTGAGTTCTGGCTACTAGGTACGACATATATATATATATATAATATATATATATATATATATATATATATATATATATATATATATATATATATATATATATATATATATATATATATATATATATATACGACATATATATATATATATATATATATATATATATATATATATATATATATATATATATATATATATATATATATATATATATATATATATATATATATATATATATATATATATATTTATATATATATATATATATATGTCGTATATATATATATATATATATATATATATATATATATATATATATATATATATATATATATATATATATATATATATATATATATATATATATATATATATATATATATATATATGTCGTACCTAGTAGCCAGAACGTACTTCTCAGCCTACTATGCAAAGCCCGATTTGCCTAATAAGCCAAGTTTTCATGAATTAATGTTTTTTCGACTACCTACCTACCTAACCTAACATTTTCGGCTACCTAACCTATAAAGATAGGTTAGGTTAGGTTAGGTAGGGTTGGTTAGGTTCGGTCATATATCTACGTTAATTTTAACTCCAATAATAAAAAATTGACCTCGTACATAATGAAATGGATAGCTTTATCATTTCCTAAGAAAGAAAAAGAGAAAATATATTAATTCAGGAAAACTTGGCTTATTAGGCAAATCGGGCCTTGCATAGTAGGCTGAGAAGTGCATTCTGGCTACTAGGTACGACATTATATATATATATATATATATATATATATATATATATATATATATATATAAATTATAAGTGCAATGGAACTTCAGTTACTGTGGACGAGTCTGGTAAGAATGTGTCTGTTCACGTGGGAGTACACATCTCTGAACATTACTGTATATACGTATATTTATTTCTGCACTCATTATATTATTGCTGACCGGCCACACCTAGGGGTCTACGACACTTCATAAATGGGCATGGTGAGTACTCCTCCAGCTATAGACTTCCAAATACTATGGAAATATAGACCTTCAAATTTGTCAATAGGAAAACTAAACAAGAATAACATTACCAAAGATAAGCAAATGCCATCAAGGCCCAAAAAAGAGCTGACTAGGACTGACATTAAGAAACCCCTTAATTAGCAACTTTTTTTTTTTTAATTAAAAGGTAATAAATATTAATAAGAATTTTATTTGTTAAAAGCTATAGATATGCCCTTTGAAAAATGCATGGACGGAATGTTCATAAGAAACTTCTAAGTGACATACTGAAGGAGAGTCTGAAGTACCTCACCAAGCCCGAACATTATAAACAATTTATTTTTTACATGACTAAAACATATCATTTCCCCACATCAACAGTCAACATATATTTTAGTAACAACTTATAAAAGTTTGAGGATACACTAATAAATTGTTTAAATTTCAAGTCCTCAACAGTCACCAGTTTTCTTTACAATGAAACACTAAAACAATTTTTATTTATACAAACTAACTATTGAAGTGGGGGAAGGGGATGGAGGGAGCATGAAATATTGGCTATTGTCTCAATAGACATTCAACTAACCTGGGTTGTGGCCTACGAGAGCGTACCCGTCCTTTGATAGGGGTGCTCCCGAGCCTGGCCCAAATGGCGCCGCTGCTTGACCGCTACACCTGAACAACACAACGTGATGGCATCATGTGGCAACGTACACACCAAACAACGGCTCAAGCTTACCAAAATTAAGCCCATTCACAGCAATGGCACTGCTTAGTGATGTATGAATTCTAAGCAGCAACTGCTATACTAATTCAATGAAGCATTTATATAGCATACAAACACCTTGAGTTAGTATACATTAACTTTAGATAATTCATACATCACAAACACATCTTGCTTTAGAGTCACATGTATTTCTCCATTCATGCGAAGCACTAGTACTCCTCTCTATGGGGAAAAAATCTATCTGCATCACTATTATGCTCCACAGTATATTAAACTATTGGCACATCATATAATGGAAATTACACAAATCCAACAAGCTGCTGTATGGCACTTTGCCATTGCATCCTGCTGTATATAATGTATAAAAAGCAACTGACAGTATCAAAGCTAAACAAAAGCAGCTTTATTACATGAAAGTCCTACCTGGTAACTAAAAAAAGAATCGACTCCAACAGTACAAAAATAAATGATAAAAAATCACAAGTTTATATGAGCCAAACTATATTCAACTAGGCTCAAGCTAAAGACATCTTGAAGAAAACCCGATTTCAAAATGTTATGTGTATGTACATCGATAGCACCACCGAAATCAGACTGCAGCTGGAAATGATCAAGGCCAGTTAGTTGTTAGTACATGTTACTCTGGTAAGATGCCCCCCTCAGGGAAGGAGAGGCCATGGGGCTTCAACCAAGCTGTGGGTGTTCTTGGGGGTACTGTTTCACACTGCTGCACGTATTCAAGTGACCATACAGGTAGCTAGTGGAGAGCTAAAATGTTAACAAGTTAACTGGTGGACTTTAAATATATTTTGTTATAGTCCTCACTAAGCTGATGACTGATGTAACTTATTAATTCACACACATTTGTAACATCATATTCACTTAACTGTATTGCTCTGAATTAATGATCCATTTTAATTATGACTTTTCTTAACAATTAAAGGAAATTAAAATGCATGAAAAAAGGACAATGTACGTATGTTAGTCATAAAAATTACTCAAATTAACCAAGAATTCTTACTTTATCCTGCAATGCATTAGTACATTACATGAAACCCAAAACCAATAAAATATTTTTACAAGATAAAAGTAAATCAAATAGTAGTTCCTCGATATGACGAACTTCATTGCTAGCCACATTAGCTCTCAAGCAACTTTAATAATTTTACAGGCTGGATTTAATACACAATGTTAATTATTCCTTACTTGCTCGCTCACTTACTCACCCTCTCATTTACTCACTTCCATGCACACAAACCCAATCACTTGCTCTCATTTCTATGGTTCACGTTTCAAGTTATGCATCAGAAATTGGTTTCTACTACAACGCTTGACTTGTCAAAATTTCTGAGCTGAAGGCCTCTGAAAGATTATCATATGTGCAGCAATAATGTGGTACAGCATCCCCAGCTTACCTGACAAGGCAGTATGACCACAGATAAGGCCAGATGTGTTAGTTCCCATTCTTAATAATACTGACAAATACCAGCCGATAAATTCTTACAAGTACACTATACAGTAGTATAATTGTTGCCAATTATGAAAAAACAAAAAATTTTAACTATGAAACTAAAAATATAATTTAATTTTATTTGGAACTGAAAATTGGCTTTTATTTTTTGAGTAACTTTTTTTTCTTTTTTTCTCTTGTTTTTAAGATTTTATAGACATTCTCTTGTAAATATTTAACAACCAATCTTTGTCATTATTATTCCAACAGTGACCAAAAATCATGATCTCGGCAAAACAGTGCGGTTAGCATTTGACCCGTTTCTTTTCTCTTCAACCTAAGATTGAATGGTGTTAATTATGGCACATCAGTGACCTCTATGAGGTCAACCATCTAGAACAGCTTCTTAAGCAACTGCCTTGTTCATTTATCAAATATTAGAATTATAAAAATTAATTTCCTAACCTAAAGAACACTACAGTATAACAATGATTTAAAACTGAAAATTACTGTGAACAAAAACCTGCGAGTACAATTAAGCAATATTTGAAACCCTAAGTCAAGCACAGGTGGACATTTGCTCATCCTTCAAGGCAATTGCTTTGATTTATAAAGCCTATGGCTGTATTCAACAGTTCAGTAAGTGCTTACTGAGATGCAAAACCCTTTTTAATTTTCTTTTATATCTGGCACCATGACAGGAGTATTCAAGGCACTTGCCTATTCTGAACTATTATGAATACAGCCAGAGTCAGTGTTAGTGCAGCAGTTGAGCCACAGTGCCGGACTCCTCGGCCGGCACGCCTGGTTGCTGCCACCTCGGTTAGTAACTTGGTCCCTTGGTAGCTGTTAAATTTATTATGCTCGCACCATTTGGAAAGATGAGAACATAAATGAGAATCTGGAAATTATCTGATTAGATTTTGGAGTTGCCCTACTGCAGGCAGGAAACTGGTAAATGTCGTCAATTTGAGAAAGCAACCTCATTATTACCGGGTGTTATTCTACGTTTTAGAAGATGATACAAACCTGCTCCTGTTTAAAAAGATAAATATTAACTGCTTTAGGTTTATCAAATTGCCTTTCTAAATAGTAATGCATTTACCTTTCAACAAGGACCTCACATGAATTATAAATATTTTCTAAATATATAAAACTCTAGGAAGGCAATATGATAATTTGTGTATTATATACAGATAAACTCCTCTAAATTGTTAATGTGTGAGTATAAAGCTTTATAAAATTTAATGATGCACAAATTGTGTAAAAATAAAAGACTTTAAAATACACAATATGTATGAAAATAATACATATGCACAAAGTAATTGACCAAAGTTAAACATTATAATTTCAACAATTAGATAGATGCTATCACTTACAGCATTCCAAATGGAATATGCTGTCAATGAATGTAACACAAAACAGTGTTACTTGTTTTGTGGTATTAGCATCACAGTTTTTAGAAGGTGACATTGTAGTTATTCTACTACTGTATACACATGTTGTAGCTGAACAATTGAAAGGAGTTTTATAAAGTTTAGAGATTATGCTGCAGGACTAAATCATAAAATATTAAGCAATTATAATATTACTAAGGAAGTGGGTATAGTTTTAATTAAAATTAGAGGCTCTTAAATAATCTAAAGCATGCAAGACTGCCAAACCCAAAACCAAGAACATCTACAGTACTGTATCCACCACCACGACCAAGAGACTTAAGTACAATCCTATATGCATCTAATTAACCTAAATTGTTACATCTTATTGCCAATAAGAAAATATCGAAGTAACATAGCCTTCAGCCATTGCATTTCCATACCACTCTTTGCAAAAGAGCTACCAAACTACCTATATCAATTTAATATAAATAAATATAGAGCCATCAACTTTCACAACCTCTGACTCTTTTAAACAATAATATATTTTCTAATTTTATAATGCAATATGCCAAGTTGAGTCTTGACAACATAAAACCCTCACAACAATCATTCCTCTGAGTAACATGGCAATATTTTGGCAACTGATGTATGTGATCTAAAGCATTTTTTTTCCAAACATTTCTCAGAGGTAGAAGAAAGCACCATACAAACATTTACAATGAAAGCACTGGCCACAAAATGGAATGCAATAAACAAATCACTGGGCTTATTATGCACGTTGATGAGCAACATTTGAGAACTTAAAATGAGATTTCCAACAAATAAAAAAACAAACAAATAAGCTTGACCAATGACAAGTCTCGTTACACAAAACGACTATTACTTCACCGAAAGCTTTTTCCCTATGCACTGAAGAACATGTTAAGCCAGAGCTGGAATCCCTAGCACAACTGACGAGTTCCACGTGTATCATGGCAACACACCACCGCACGCTGCAAATGCTGCGCGTGGCAACATGGCCAGATAGTGTGGTTAACCCGTGGTGGGTGTGTGAGCGGTGCGTGGGTGCGGTGGTGTGGGTGGTGTGGGTGGACTAGTACATGGTTCATCTGGCAAACAACCCACCAGCAGCGTCCGGGGGGTACTCAGTGAGGAGGGGGGAGCTGAGGGCAGCATAGTTGGCGGCAGCATACTCGGCAGCAGCAGCGTATGGGGCATACATCAGACCAGCAGTAGCATCACTTGCAGCAATTAATGGTGGAGGCATGCCACCAGCTCCAGTTCCATTTAATAATGCAGTTGTTGTCGGAACATGGATCCTTGCAGGCATGAAGAGAGGATTGCCACTGAGAGGTGTGGTTGTGCGCAGAGGTGACTGAAGTGTCATCCCTTGTGTGAGCAGTCGTGGAACTTCCCCTGTAAGAGGACCCAGTCCTTCAATTTCTGGCAAGGGATAGAGAAGGTAGGGTTAGTGAGTCAGTCCACCACCAGCACACACGCACACAGACTCCTCAACATGTATTAGTGGTTCGTTAAATTGATAAAATAAATCAAAGCTGATACTTTAAATCAAAATAGATTTAGGAAAGAAGAAAATAATACTATGCTTAAACTCAATAACCCAAAAACCATAATCTTTAGTTCCAAGTGTTAAATACAACAAATTTACTGACAAACAATAGACTTATGAAAAATAAATGATAAAACCATTATTGAATTAGTTCTCAAAGCTCTCAAGCATTCCAATGCTAGAACATTGTAATGCTTATTTTCATACAGGGTTTAGTATACTGTATAGCAAATATTCAAACCCTTTCAAAATCTATAATTATGGTACAAGAGTATAAATACTGATAAATATACGTTTAAGAATAATCCTCCAAGAAAGGCAGGAGTGATTTGTGAACAAGATACTGCATTTAGAATCATAAAATTATATAAAAATTAGTCCCTAAATATTAAATACTTTAATTATGCAATTAAGAATAAGTATGCAGATGTTAATATATCTATTAAAGCTTAACATGCACAAAGATGTGAATAATACACTATTAATATTTTTAATAATGAATTGGATTAAAGCTGGGAGAGTGATGTCACTACCAGCATACAATGAAAGCTTATCTCTGTGGACTACATGAAAAAAATTAACCATTAACAATAAGGGGGGGAAAGTTTACTTTATTTTTATTTCATAATAAAAGACAGTTATATTGTGCAATAAGAACTAATTGTAATAATTAAATTACAGAAAAAGAAAAAAAAGGGACTTAAAACGGCAAAGTACTATACCGTTCACTGGGTACAGTCGACCCCCGTTATAGTGGCTGCTCTGTGCAGAGGCAAAAAAGGCCACTGTAAGGAAATGGCCAAAACAAAAGGTAATATAAGTGATTGTAATGAAGGTTAAAATGGGTTAATTGGGTTTGATTTACTGATTAGTGGCCAATGTTAGAAAATGGCCACTCTAACGAGTCGACTGTATTATACCAGGATAGTAGCAAGGACTAAGCATAGACATGCTTGGCATATGCACCTTTTGAAGGTACTGTATGAGACTTGCAAATAAATAATCTTAGTTTAACCCCTTGAGTTTGGTAATCTATGCTTTGATGCCACAAAATTAATCAAAATCTTAAGGTAGTCAAGATATGGACATTCAAAAACCTCTTAAAATTCCAATTATAATACTGCACATGCTTTAACAGTTTTCAGTAATGTGTACTGTTAAATCAAATTTTGCTATGAACAAACTCTCAAACAGGAACCCCTTCACTGATCTTTTAAAATGCTCATCAAACTAACAATTACCTGAAGGTTTAAGGAAGGCTGACTGTAATCATGCATTGTACATTATGTACTCGGGTGTTATACTGTTTGAAATCATGAATATGACTTATCCTTTTTCCAATTATCTTTGATATATAGAATGACTACATCTAAAATTGGCCAGAAATAGATCTACTACACAATTAAAATACAGATTCCTACAGATTCTTTAATAAATAGTTATGATGGTTTTGTATGATAACTTTTTCAAATAAATTATATTATAATATTTTCTGGTAATCAGCCAATAGTCTTTGAAGAAATATTCAAGGCAACATATAGATGCACAAAAAATCAGCTAGGTAGATTCTATACATTAATAGCACAAACTATGTTGTCAGAGGTGTGTAATATTTGCTACAACAATGTCTAATGCTCTAAGAAAATTTGATAAAGATGTCTGCTTCTGACTCAATGTTAGGAGGAGGCTATTGATATATAGGGTTAGAGTTTACATTTATCTATGTACTACAAGACTAGACTTTATAAGCAATATAAATATATAAAACTGGGGACAATAAAAAATTAAATACATCTCCACATTTTGATTCAGCTAGTCAAAGAAATTCAAAACAAATTTGCAGATACTGTAATTTAAATGGGTTTCGAGGAATGCGCAGAGTAGCCATTCATTAAAAGTCCAATGCCTCTATCACACCCGAAGTGGTCAAACAGTGCCATTGAAAATTGGTGCAAAAACCTTTTATGTGATCTTGCTTCAACTCCATTAAAGAAGAAAACACAGTAGTGTATCAATATCAAACATTTGAATTAGCCTCAATTATAAAATACAATTTGAGAGATTCGTCTGAATACACAATGAAATCACAGCAACATGATAAATCTGAGAATCTTTAGGAGCAGAACAATGGGATCAAACCTGCATCTTGTCACCCCAGGTGTGCACCTTAACTCACAGGCCGCAATATACTACACTTTACACAACCTTAAGTCTGTCCAAACTTTATAGGAGTTTGGAGACACCAAGCTGGTACTAAACAATTTTGTCCCAATTTAATGTGTACTGAAACTGCGTACTATGGAGACCTGTAGTGCAGTGCTTAATGCATTTGCCTAGCACCTGATTGAACCAGAGATCAATTACGAGGCAGGGTCAATGTCAGTAAATTCCCTTGCACCTGAATTCCCTTGTACTGTTTAACTAGCAGTACAGATAACCAGTAGTTAGTTAGGTATCTCTTGTGGATTGCATCATGGTCAGTAGTTGGCCTAGGGGAAACACTAAGTTCAACAGGCTCCTTGTCCCTGACAATGGGAAACTATAATATCAGCAATAGTAATCCAAATTCAAGTAATAATGGATATAATTTGCTTTTGTAAATATAAATTTGCTCCACATTTTTTACAATTAAACATTTCTGCTAATTATTTTTAATTGTCTGCTCTGGCACGTGAATTATTTTTAATATTCACGTGTATTCATACAGTGAATCCAGTACTGCTTATTTTCCCATTAAAAACACATCTCACAAATGTTTGTACATTATGCACTCAGGTGTTATACTGTTTGTAGTGTGTTTATCTACCTTTCTCGTACATAATGGTTCTTGCACCTTATGTACTTTACATTGTTTAACAATTACATGTAATCTGCCATGCATGTGCTAAAATGCAGAAGACTTCTTAGAATCGGCCCTCAGTTATTCAAACTCGATGATGATCCTAATAACATTTGCTTGACATGCCTATTGTATATGCGTGCGTGTGTGTGTGTGTGTGTGTGTGTGTGTGTGTGTGTGTGTGTGTGTGTGTGTGTAAGTGTGTACACACATGTGTGATCAAATAAATAAATCTGTTATCCAAGGCAGTTTATGTTAGAATAATTTGAGGGTAGCTGACCTTTAAAAGAAAAATCTTAAATCCTAATAATAAAAAAAAATCATTCAATTTATTAAAGCAAATTATTTAACATGCAGAGAAGTAACTGTACTTCATTTAATAAATTATTGGAAACTTGAATATTAAACATAATTTATATATACTGTATGAAAATATAAACCCTGCTCTACACACTAAAGTGGACTCCACCACATGCTGTACAAGTGTGTTCACATGAAGACCTGGCTTTAGTGAGAGTCTGAGTATCACAGTCATGATCGCTGCATCGAGGTCATTACTCCCCTAACCTCACCTCACACCTCACGTGGGAAAACCAAAAGGAGCTCAAAGATCGTGTTCAAAAGCGGAATGTCAAACAACATATTCACATATAAATACAGTTTGTAAGCAAACTGTCCTATTCGTATACATACAGTATAGGTAAATAGCAACTATTTCTGTGTACCTGTACTATACGAGTTGGGATACAGGTGCATCCCACCAGTAAGATGAAATATCTCGTATCATTACCCAGATGCCAGCAAAAATCTTTAGATACAAGGAGTCGGAACCTTCAATCTTCATGTTGCCTATCAGGCTGCTAAATATAGTTTTGTATCGTTCTTTCACAATTTCTCTTATTTTATTTCTTTGTCCTCCTATGTATGGATTTCATAATGAAAAATAGTACCAATATTGGTGGAAGTTTTCTATTTAAGGAGCTGCCTCGAAAGGGCCAATAGGCTTTTTTTATAGTGTTATTCTTATACTGAATGTGAAAATGTATTTTGGATTTTCTAATTTTGCTCGAGAGCATTACATTCTACTGCAGTATATTTCAATAGACTAATTTATCTATATTGGGATATTCATGTTTGGTAGAGTATTTCAATAATTTCCTTCTGTATTGTCTTCGGAAACCCTATGTAGGTCCTCTTTCTGCTCTTTACCCAGAAGGACTTGTGCACAGGAGACTTGTGCGATGAGGGAACCTCCAGAACTAAAAAGCCCAATACCTTTATTGTTGAAACAATTCACTGAATAGCCCTCGCACTTTATTTTACTTGGGAATGTTAGGTGTATTAATGCACTTGTGTGATAAAAATTTGCAATGTCTTCTACAGGAGAGTTTCAACTATTAACATTTGTAACTTCTTCCTTAGTTCTTGAGAAAAGTAATTATTATACTAGTATTTTATGAAGTAAAATACTACAAAATAATATTAAACTAGAAAATGAAAAGAACATTTGCTATGAACATATATAATACCTAAGCTACTGAAAGTGCTAAAAATCCCTCAAACTACAGTCCCTGCCACTCGGCTGAAAACAAAACAAAACTGAAACTGATTTAAATTTTGCACTAAAATAATATAGAGCAATAAGAGACAGCACTGTCCAGGTGTAGAAAGTATACCATGATTTGCCTCGAAATATAAAAGAAATGGAGAATTGCTCACACACAAAAACCCATCAAGATGCAGCACCAGCATTAGCCTTTAAGCTGCCGACACAAATATCAAGGCTGATGAAACCTCCCTCCGAAAGGTATGTCAAACTTTGCTCCACAACCTCTGGAACCCCACTCGGGTAAACCCCAGAGCACACGGCAACAAGCTAATTCTCTAAAATTGTTACAATATTACTTAAGCCTCGAATCTTGCTCACTAACTTGAAAAGAAGAGGTTATGCTGTGCAAGAGAACGAGTGTTCTCTTGAGCAGTATGTTTTGACTTTCCACATTCGAGGATCAACATCTTAAAACTTCCACACTACCAAACATAATTAACAGCCTAAACCCCTCAACTGATGACACTCCCACTTTTTCTACATTCTAATTAATACTGCAATTAAATGGCTCAAAAGCAGCATATTTTTAGTCATTACTTCTACACTTTTTCATACAAACACCACCTCTATAATTTATAATTTAAATTTTTTTTAACATTTATCTCCTTTGATAAAATCTTTGGAGCATGACAGAGTAACCCAGATGCACGCCTTAACCCACAGACCACACTATGCTGAGAATTATTTAAGTTGGTATCTGCCCAATTCCACTGGGAGTCTTGAAGGCATTTAACTCATATCCAATCCAAGTTGTACAAGCTTGAAATTTGGTGGCACTGTAACTATTACATACGCAAGAATGTAAACAGGTTACAATATTTGCAAAACTTGGATTGGATATCAGATCAGTGCCTCCAGACCTCCAGTGGATTTGGGCAGATACCAAGTTAAATAATCTTCACCATATTGTACCCAATATGCACAGGCACATTGGGTTACCCAGGACGCAGGTTCGACCCATCTTTTTCTCAAAGATTTTCTCATGGTTACATCCTGTTATTGTGATTTCCTTGTGTATTTTCATCTTTATTATGTGGCTTTGAATAACTTTCATTATTAGATTTAAAGCATCAAACTTGATGTGATGCAAGTTCTCTGGCAGCCACTCGAGGCATCCTTAACCCATATGTCAGATCCTCTATCATCCTCAGTCTTTTGTAGTCACAATATTAATTGAATTTTATCTTCTTATTCATAATACAGTAATATGATTAAAAAATTTCATTACCATGTGGCAGTTATTATAGCCCAATTATTAATTTTTGGTTTCATCAACTTCATTATCAGAGGATTTCTTCAATATTTTTATTAAAAGTTCTTAAATTTAACATCATTTCGCTTAAAAAAAAAAAGAATGTACTGTATTTGTAAGTTGGCTTTTATAAGATTTTTTATTTTTTGTCATTTTGGCCATCATTTCAAATTTTGTTTAGCTGGTTAAAACAATAATTGACCAAGGTTGTAATGTAGCAGTAAAAACCATCAACAACTATAGTGTAGAGGTATATAAATGACTAATGGATTTGAATAATGTGTGTGGCAATTCCAAATTAAATTTAAATACAAAAATACAAGGTGTTAAAATATATATTTTCCATACAGTATTTGAATCACATACACAAAATTCAAGATAAACGGTTCTTTTTATATAAAATATTAAATATAGGTACACGAATAGTGTACATGTACTGTATATTGAAATTGCTTATTCTATGGAAAATTTGACTTAATTTATCCTGTATTTTATGTAAAAAAAATTGCTGCAATTTCATGACCGCATTCTCAAAATACAGTGCTCCCTCGAAAATTTGAATCTCCATTGCATGCTTTCCTCTAAACTTTTATCAAGCACTAATTATCTTGTTGGCAGATTTTATCTGCCTACAGATTTCTCTTCTAATATTTAAACTTCAAAAAATTCAAATACCTTGAGGGATATTGACATCTTTCTTGTCAGCTATCACATCGTGTGCTATTCAAATTTCTCTTCTTCTATTTTCCTACTCTTATTTTTTAAGATCAAGATCATTAGAAATAATGCATGCGAATGCAGTCTTGCTGTGTTAATCAAATATTTTTACTGATGTTTCCTTCTAAAAATCATTACTGTATTTGAGTTGAAGCCATATTATCTAGGTACTATGGGCCTATTAGGCAAGGGCAAGAAGAATTTCCTGACCATGAATTGATGATAGTTATTAAAAAATGTGACCGTGGTTAGGGAGGCAAGTGGCTTGAAGAGAAGAGTACCATTATTGGTGTGGCATCTCTTGTGTGCCTTATGGAATCGTGTGAATACCATTTGGGCGAGACGTGTGTCTGGGGTAACCCTGGACGCTAGTTCAATGCCATCACCCTGCTCCAAAGTTCTCCATAAATTGAATTTTAGGTTCTCCATAAAAACACATTTTATGCCTGTGAGGTAAGGCATCTAGCAGATATATTATGACATTCCAAGAATGTTTTGCAACATATCGAATGAAAATGATCTTGCCAAACATCTTTGCTATAGTAGTACTTAATTGTACACAAGTATAACATGTTTTACATAAATGGTCACGTAATTTGGTAAATGTCAGTTTGTTCATCTAACTAATCCATTGTTTATTATAGCATAGCACTTTATCTTGTCACCTATACACCACCAACTACTTGTTTGTGTTGATGGCAGTGAAGAGTTGACTGCATTTCTATACAATTTTCAGGCTCTCGCATTTATGTTAACTCAACCTTAAATAATTTTCTAACCCTGCATTGATTATGTCATTTACAGCAGGAAAATACAATACATAGACTGACGGCCAATATAAAACGAATTTTTCCATACTTTTCTTTTTAAAGCCTTGTTCTAGATGCACCATTGGTGATAATGGCATTATTGTCACTAACTTTATATCCCTTACCAGCAAGTTCCTCATTTTCTAGCCGATTGTTTTTGTTCGTATTCCAAATTATACATGAAGATTTGGTCGATGTTTACCAATTATTTATGCAGCATTATTGCCTGGTGATGGTACACAGTTACAGACTGTAGCTGAAAAAATGGCACTAACCATGGGCATTGAGAACATCAAGGTCAGTCCAGGGTTGCTGCATAAGAGCGTTAAAACCGCATTTTCCTGCCTCTGAGTTATGAAGACCATCCTGTGCTACAAAAAGGTAAGTGGAAAAATTAATGTTTTGTATTTTTAGTTCATGCGTAATTATTTACATGAACACAAAACCATTGTTTATATATTATTTGGATGTCTGAATACGCTAAAAATATGTATTACTGTATTGTATATGATTAATATGAAAATCCAGACAATTTGGTAACAGCCTAAAACAGGCAATTTCTCCGAAAATTGGATTTTACGCCCATCCGAATCGTGTCGAACGAAATGATCCAAATTTGAGGGAGCACAGTGCATGTATTGAAAATATAAATTAATATCTCCTTACTATTACATTACACAAACTACTATTTATATTATCATATATTAATTAGGGGGTAATCTTCTATCCCAAGAATTATAAAAAGTCTCAAGGGGTTGAAAGATTATCAAATACCAAACTCGTTATCACGCAGAGTTAGGATATGTAGTTGGAAAGATCACTCACATGAAGTCCACATGCCAGTAAGATACATCAGTCCTCACTAAACTCATTATTTAAGCAAGGTACCTGGCGAGTCAAAACAAAAACACTACTGGAGAAAAAAGCTAAAAATAAACAATGGTAATAAAAATACAGTAATAACAACCATACAATATTAATTAACACAAGACAGTATAACATACCTGCATTTTTGCTGGAGGAATCTCTGTAAGTACCATTAATAATGGCAAGCTCCATTAGCTGCCGTTTTTTTAGTTCATCCTCGCCATCGGCCTAAAAATATACAATTTTAAATTTCAAAGAATTTCATACTTGCAGTAAATATCTTCCACAAAAATGCAACACAATGTTTGACCAAAACACAGTAATGTACCAATATAGAACAATTATTTACACTGAAAACTACAGATTTCCTAACTACAACAGGGTATACCCCCCAAATGGGGGAAGGTATACCTCCTCCCCCCCCCCTCCCTCCATTTACATTCAGTGGCACCTCAATGTTCCACTTGAATAAAAGACCAAATCTTTCTACTGGATTACCAATCAAAACATTCCTATTTTTGAGACTCCAAATTTGGCTGCAGCGAAATCCAGATTATGTATGACAATTTCCTACTACTCGTATCTTTTCTTACATCATCTTCACGACAGGTCAAACTAAAAGTCTACAGAGCAGGAAAGGATTCTTTTAATAATGCTTAGTATTTTCCTAAATGGGTGCAGCACTATGAAGAGTTGGTGTCTGAGGAAAATCCATTGAGCATAGTTAATACAAAGTTCTTTGATTGGTTTTCATTTAGAGCGTTACAAAATATTTACCGTAAAAAAACAAATCCAAAATATTTGGTGATAAGTATCAGACTAAATATTTGGAAACCTGGATTATTCAAGAATCAAGCAGCCCATTCATTCTCAGACCAAATCCATTACCATGAGAAACCACACCCCACCCACCTCAAACCACCTGGATACTGGATACTTCAATCTCCCTGTTTAAATTATTCCTTCTTTGTATGGAATATAATCTGCTATAGAAGCAGATTAAGGATAAATGCATTACTGTATACGAGAGAGTAATTTTAATACTAGACGAAAAAATTAAGACAGGAAAAAAATGGTGGCATAAATTTAAGTGAAATTTTCACAAGCATTTTAGTTATTTTTAACAACTCAATAACTATGTAGGGACACTGGACATCTCAATTTTCATTATTCACTCACTGACATTTTTCATTCTAGGCCTACTGTACTTTGAATACTTAAGAACCTTTAAAAATATTGATAAACAGTCCACTAACACAAACTTACTGAGGGGACGAGCAGCTTGCGGATCTCTTCAATTGCTCGCTGGATCTTGACCTTGGCTCTGTTCTCTGTGTCTTCTACTGTGATGAGAACATGAAGCTCTTCATTCAAGTGCTCCCAGTTAGGTTTCCCACGGTTCTGCTCTTCCTGTAGAAAACAACTCTCACAATAAGGAAAGGAGAGGGTAGGATAAGCTTAACTAAAGCAACACTGCAAGGATGATACAAAATTAAAGTACAGTACATGAGACAGTCATGTTTTTATTTTTTTTTTACTTTACTTACTTACGTTATTGAATGTTTAACTGTACAGGTCCCTTCCCTAAACTATTTCAGTTAGCATCAAATTTGAGGCTTCCGAGTTATTGTATTTAACGTTTTCGTGCCAGCTTATAGAAATTCAGTGAAGTGCTCACATCTTTAACTGTATCAACTAAATGCAGAAATAATCTGGTGATCCATGTGGTTGAGTTAATACCCTCCCTTTTACATAACTTGCCCAAGCTGTCTACTGGGGTCACATGTTATTGAACATTGGAAAACTCTTTGTTACTGGCATGTTGAGGGCGAGGGGGATATTGATGAGGGGGCTGGGGTAATGGGGTGTAAGTAGTAAGGGGTGACCCTAGCCACAATTGATTACTGTAGTAAGATTCAAATGCATAAAATTTTATTTCTTTGAATGCAAGCATGCAAACTTTATAATGTACTGTATACAGAAACTGGGAAATATTAGGGATGGCTCCAACTCTTCACACTGACCCTTTTTGAGATCAGAAAGAATTGCAGAACGTGCAAATATCCCCATTAAAATATATGAGGACAGTATATTAATTTTATAAACTGAAGGACTGAAGGCTTTTCAACATGCTCCTCCTAAATGAAAGGGAATTATGTTGGCAGACCCCACCCCCCTTTATCCACCTGTGTTAAGGGAAAATCAAACTCATGAAAAAGCACTTTATCAACTGGCCTGAGGTGTATGTTGGACTGAGCTGCAAACACTGACAGCTTAATACATCAGACCATCAGAATCATATAAACTATTAATAAAAACTAGCACAAAATGCAACAGTTCTGGCTGTAACAGGTGCACAGCAGTGTAAATCAAAAATCAAATTTAGGAGGAGGAGGGGGTAGGAGGGGGCAGGGGGGTGAGGAGGGAGGGGGGGTGAGTGGGGGGGGGGAGAAAGAGGGTGGGGGGAGATAAAAGCATAGGCATCAAGGTGGTGAGAAGGGGTGAGAGGTGGTGAGTGGCATGATTGTACCTTCTTTTTGTCTCTCATGGAGCCCTTGCCGCGCACCATGATCTTGCACCCTGTCTCTTGCTCCAGCTGCTTGGCCGTCATCCCCCGAGGCCCAAGTATTCGACCCACGAAGTTGAACTGAAACAAATAAGACATATTATTAGTATACTACACAAACCCCCCCAATCCCCCACCTTCCTTACCCCAGCGTTACGCACATCATCCCCGGCCCACTCCCCCCCCCCAACACACACACACACACACACACACACACACACACACATGTAAAGTTATGGAAATGGGATCAGGTGACAGGAGACCAAAGGGACAGTACACAATGAAGGGGAACAGCCTACCTGTAACGATTCGAGAAAGAGACCTGGGAGTGGATGTGACACCTAATCTAACTCCTGAGGCACATATAAATAGGATAACGACAGCAGCGTACTCTACACTGGCGAAAATTAGAACTTCATTCAGAAACCTAAATGAGGAAGCTTTTAGGGCGCTTTACACTGCCTACGTGAGACCCGTCTTAGAGTATGCCGCGCCATCATGGAGCCCCCACCTGAAGAAACACAAAGAAACTGGAGAAGGTTCAGAGGTTTGCGACGAGGCTTGTCCCAGAGCTACGAGGGATGGGATATGAAGAGCGGCTGAAGGAACTGAACCTTACGACACTAGAGAAAAGAAGGGAGAGAGGAGATATGATAGGGACATATAAATACTCAGGGGAATTGACAAAGTGGAAATAGATGAAATGTTCACACGTAATAATAACAGAACGAGGGACATGGGTGGAAACTGGAAACTCAGATGAGTCACAGAGATGTTAGGAAGTTTTCTTTTAGCGTGAGAGTAGTAGAAAAATGGAATGCACTTGGGGAACAGGTTGTGGAAGCAAATACTATTCATACTATTAAAACTAGGTATGATAGGGAAATGGGACAGGAGTCATTGCTGTAAACAACCGATAGCTAGAAAGGCGGGATCCAAGAGTCAATGCTCGATCCTGCAAGCACATATAGGTGAGTACATATAGGTGAGTACACACACACACACACACACACACACACACACACACACACACACACACACACACACACACACACACACACACACACACACACACACACCTCCCAGCCTCCCACCTCGGCCTCGTAGCCTGGTGGATAGCGCGCAGGATTCTTAATTCTGTGGCGCGGGTTCGATTCCCGCACGAGGCAGAAACAAATGGGCAAAGTTTCTTTCACCCTGAATGCCCCTGTTACCTAGCAGTAAACAGGTACCTGGGAGTTAGTCAGCTGTCACGGGCTGCTTCCTGGGGTATGTGTGTGTGTGTGTGTGTGGTGTGGGGAAAAAAAAAGTACGAGGCAGAAACAAATGGGCAAAGTTTCTTTCACCCTGAATGCCCCTGTTACCTAGCAGTAAACAGGTACCTGGGAGTTAGTCAGCTGTCACGGGCTGCTTCCTGGGGTATGTGTGTGTGTGTGTGTGTGTGGTGTGGGGAAAAAAAAAAGTAGTTAGTAAACAGTTGATTGACAGTTGAGAGGCGGGCCGAAAGAGCAAAGCTCAACCCCCGTAAAAACACAACTAGTAAACACACACACACACACAAGCGTGAACAAATGGAATGAAACAAGTGCAGAAAGCAAATTCAAGTCACTACTTCAAATGTGGATTTGCCAATTAAAAAGAGACTATTACCTTTTATACCAGTACAGCTTAAGAGTTCAGAGGCAGGTCCCAAGAACTGCAGTTCATCCCCGCTAGTACAATTAGAATACTACAAAATAAATCCCCCCCCCTCCCTCCCTCCCATATTTTAATTAAATGTTTCAAATGAAGATATATAAAAAGGGGGAGTGCGGGGGACGGGATGGAAAAAGGCAGAGTGGAAGACGTGTGATGGTGCAGAGGGTGGGAAGGTGGCCGTGCATCTGGCCGCGGGTATTAATACACAGCCCGGGTGCGAGCACCACCACTCACTAAATTTAGCCGGCCTGCCATGCCGCCACCACCACAGCCGCCCACCACTACTTACGCACCCTACCCTCCCGCCCTACTTACCTGGGTGGGTAAGTAGCCTCCCCCCTATTTCCAAGTGTGAACGCGAATTGAACATAAACAGTGCCAGTACTGAAGTCTCGCTTCCTCTAAACGCGCGGACAAATGAAGCAGTTCAGCTCTTTGACACCAAACTGGTCCCCTGTACTAAAGGGCTACGATGGAACACGAAAAGTAATCAACTTTAAATCGGCAGACAAAGAGAGAGACCATGTTCACGGCATTTAAAGTCCCGAGGGATCTTGAGCTTACAGGAGGGTGAAAATACTGACTAGGGAGAAAAGTAGCAAACGCTTGTGTATACTAAATAATATAGCAGGCTCTCGAAGGCTGGGAACCACATACACCTACACGCACGAGGGTGCACATGCACACAGACAAGGCAAGGAATGTGTACATTTAAGAATTTATTATCTTTACTGCCAGATGCAAGCCAAACATTTACTGCCCGTTACTTAGGTTACGGTGCCACCAGAGGCAGCCGTCGCCAGCTGCAGGGAAGAACACGGGTATAAAGGGCCACACCTCTTCACCGTCGACACCGATAGGTAAGCACACACAGTTGGTGATGGGAGACGATACTGTCAAGGAGGAGGAAATCCGTAGGAGCCGTTATGAGGGTTCGAACCTATCTTGAGGTTATCGTGAGATGATTTCGGGGCTTAACGTCCCCGCGGCTCGGTCCTCGACCAGGCCTCCTTTTTGTTATACCCTTCAGGAACTAGCCCGTAGTAGCTGTCTAACTCCCAAGTACCTATTTACTGCTAGGTAAGAGAGGCATCAGGACGAAAGAAACATTTTGCTCATTTGTCTCCGCCTCCATCGGGGATCGAATCCGGGACCTCAGGACTACGAATCCGAAGCGATGTCCACTCAGCTCTTAGGCGCCCTGTGCCTGCTACTGAAGACAGAACAGGATTTTCCCACAATCCCCCGTGCACTCTGGCTCTGTCATCTAGGACCTGTTCTACCTCTGACGCTCCTCTTTCAATATACAGTAATCACAGTAAAAGTGACTGCATCAATGAGAAAATCCGTAGAGGTGGTGGAGTGTTTGAAAATCCTGTTCTGGCTTCAGTAGGATCCTCAGGAAATTCTTGTGTTCAGAAGAACTCCAGGTTGCAGTCCTTATACCACGTCGTGGTGTAGTGGCTAGAAGCGTGTGCATGGCAACACCCTCCACATAAGTTCGAACCTTCATCACTGCTCCTACGGATTTTCTCGTCGATGCAGTCACGTTAGTGTGATTATTCTCTGTTTACTGTCAAGCATGATGATATGTATGAAGACTCCAAATGGCAACAGTTAGTAACGTAAAACTGTTGGATAAATTATCCATCTGGCAAAGAGGCAAAATAAGTAACATTGCCCGCAGCAGAACCAACCACTCATGACATAATCTAAAATATATTATATCCACAAAGCTCAAGGTACCCCACATCTTGCTGTTCCAAGGAGAACCATACTTCACGTGCTTTAATAAGCCATTTAAGAAGTAATTTGATATATTAATCGAGCATAATTAAATACCATAAAACTAACACAAAAACATATGATTTAATCACATTATCTCCGAGTGAGACCTTGTGATAATGTAAGGAGAGGTGTTAGTTAGGCGTAGTGGAGCACCAGCAACACTGTAGCCGGCAAGGCACCTCCGGCTGTGGCTCTCCCCACATCTGGCTCTCACCACATCTGGCTCTCCCTACATCTGGCTTTCATTACTTCATACATTTTACCTCCATATGTTCCCCTAAATAACAGATGCAATAGTTTGTGGCAAGATACGAGTGGAAACAAATTGAATATGTGATCCCCTGAAATGTTGACCAGACCACACACTAGAAGGTGAAGGGACGACGACGTTTCGGTCCGTCCTGGACCATTCTCAAGTCGAATTGAGAATGGTCCAGGACGAACAGAAACGTCGTCGTCCCTTCACCTTCTAGTGTGTGGTCTGGTCAACATACTTTAGCCACGTTATTGTGACTCATCGCCTGCATATGGATCCCCTGAAATAACCTGCAAAAGCAAGTCATCAAATACAGCTGTTAAATTGTGAACACTGCATGACAAACACGGGGGTAAGAAATGGAAGGATTGCACAGCTGTTGAGAACATTATCGCAGTGCATCAGGAAAGGTGTTACTAGCCCATTTTTTATGACATGTTCTAAAAATGTAAAGTGTGGGTTGGTGATGAGAGATGACATGTACGCGATGCTGCAGTGAATGTGTGTCCCCTCCTCAACCTTCCGCAGCTGCTAGCAGCAGTCCTTAGACTCAAGAGGGCATACGACGGCAGAACAGCCGTCCTTCAACAGCAACAACCGGACGCAAAGGGAAGCCTGAAAACGTTTCGCGAGTGAGTGGCACGGGCTCACCATAGCCCGTGCTACTGGAACTTATCGTTCTGAGTAGCGAATCTTAAACAACAACAACAACAACAGAGTGGCACGGAGGAGGAAGGAGTGCGGTGAACCTAATGATTGAGTGACAAAGATTAAGCCACCAAAAAGGTGGCACGGGCATGAATAGCCCGTAGGTGGAGGCCGTCAGGAGCCAGTACCAATAGTTGATATTTTACATCTGCTGGAAACTGGCCCGTGTCTGGCTCAAGTACTCACTAGGCCGGGAGAGAAGAATTTAACAATTAAAGAGTCCTCCTTCCACCTGCAGCAAACAATGGATAAACTGGTTTCGCTCTTTTCACAAAGCCTGCGTCTTGGACGCGCTGTATGTATGTGCCAATAGCCAGCTTCAAGAGTTGTTTTATACTTGTATCCCGGCCCAAAACTAGGCTTGTAGGTTTGATTAGTTAAGCATGAGGGCAGCCGTCGTGCCCTGATGCTGGCAGCCGCCCGCAGGCCTACACACTCCTCATGAGGTGTATATACCTCCTTGGTCTCCTCTTGAAGACTTTAATGTTATATTGTTATTTAAATTTATGCCATGACAACAAAAACATGGTGGAAATCTGCTGTTTATTATAGTGTTCAACTGTGCCTATGGCTCTATTTTTCAATGGCATTATTTTACACTTACTGTATTTCTCTCTACTCTTTACTAAGC